TACTGAATGGATCTGGGTGAATTTTGGATATGTGGTTCACCCAGATCCCCCGGTTCCAAGGATATACTTTATGGGGTTATTGCATGTTTTGGGGTCCCTGTGATGTGTTTTATGAAACTGTATTTCTCTGTCTGTGATAAATAGATTACCCATTGTGTATGGTAATTATTTCACAGGCAGAGGGGAGGATTTTGTGTGGGAGTGTCTTTCTGTAATGTACGTGTGTTATTGGTTGTTATGTAAAACCCTGTGGGCAGTACTAAATTTGTGGAGTGGAAATAAAAGAGGCTGTATGTGCCAGTGCAGTCAGTTCTGCTTGACCTCAAAACAAAGTGTCATCTCGTTATTGGGGGAATTGGATTGTATGCTGATTGCCAGGAGTGTAAGCTGATTGTATGCTTTTCCTGTTTAGCTGCTTACAGCATTCAAATGCTTGAGAGAATTTGTATGCTCTCTGGTTCAGTGGTTGTGGTGTCTGCTGCAGTGCTTGGAGTCCTCAGGAAGCGCTAGGAGCATCCTTCAACGGAGGTACCCAGTCTGGGTGCCAGGCGATCCATTACATGCAGGCTATAGGGACAGGTGGGTCACGCTAGTGGTATCTGGGCTTATCTCTCCGTAGTCGGGGTGAGTGGTATCCGCTACAGGCCCAGCCGGCTGCCGGAATGGCTTCCCGCTTCTTCTCCTCTTCAGCTTTCCTCTGGGAACATGCAAAGGGAGAGCATGTGGTCGAGGTTGTTGAGCAAGTCGGCCCTGCGAGATCGCTGCTTGGATGATAGGAGTGTAGTTGTGTCTCCGGTTGTGGATTTTTGCTCAGAACTTTCCATTTTCTCCAACGTGGCTCAGTACTGCTCCCTATCCAAACATTTAAGCATCTGTGAGAACAAGGAAGCATTTAGATGGTGTGGCGAGACCACTGCCTGTCTGTGAATTTTCTTTATGTGATTGCCTGTATTCCCCCCGACATTGTATTTGGGAATATTTGTATGTTTTACCTGCCGTTCGTCTCCCAAACGGGGACCACCTGAATACCCCATTTAGAGTGTTTATAATGGTCACACATCGCTAACGAGGTGTGAAAACCACAAACCGCAAGGGAGATGAGCGGTGCGTGCCTCTCCTGGATGGCAGCCATTTCGTATATATGAACGCCAACCAGGGGGAGCATTTGCGGATTGTGTCCTGGCGCGTTCGTTTCCCGAACAAGGTCCCCCAGTGCCCTTTGGAATGTTCGCACCAATCAACTAGAACTTTCCCCAACTTGCAACATAAGTGCGAAACCGCAATAACATTTCACAACAAGTGTGAAACCGCAAGGGAGGTAATTAATGAGTGCTTCCCCTGGGTGGCCGCCATTCTTATGGACAAACGCTGACCATGGGTAACATTCATATCCCAAAAGGAGATGCTTCATTTGCCTGGTGTCACACAGGGACTTCACGAACAGAGGAGGTTGTGGAGGTCCCTGGGTTTGGTGTGGACATCTCTTTGTGAACAATCGTGGGGGGGGGGGAGTTTGGCGGGCTTTCTGTGCCCTGAAGCCTAGAAGACAGGAGTCTTTCCCGCGCTGGGACTCCTAAGTACAGAGGATCACGGAAACAAGACCCCCTGTCCTGGAAAGTGGAAAACCCTGTACTTAGGTGGCAGGAACTGGAGACAAAGGAACAAGAGTTCCTGTAGATCCCCTGCCGCGGGAAGTGGGAAACCCTGTATTTGGGTGGCTGGAACTAGGGACAAAGGGACTGGGGTTCCTGTCACATGCAAAGGCCTCTGGGAGGGGGAGGACCCTGGGTGGGGACATTGTCTGTGTCTGGTGTGTCCCTTGTATGGGGAAAAGTATAAAGCTGAGTGTGGCCAATAAAGTTGTTGTTGTACCCCTGGATCTGTGTGTCTTCCAGTTACTTCATTCTGTATTAGCTGAGGTAACCAGTCGGGTTACCTTCGGCCTGCTACAGATGGATTGGGAGCATTAGGGCATTTACAACAGCTGTTTCCAGTTGTTGGAATGCCTTCTCACACTCTGGGGCCCATACTACCTGCCGGGAATGGTTGAGGGGTTTAGCTATGACACTAAATTTCAGGACAAATCTTCGGTAGTTACCTGAGGTTCAGGGGGAAGGCCACTGGGCTACAGCCTCAAACTTGGCTGGTTCAGGCTTTTGCTTTCCACAACCCACCCGGTGCCCCAGATGCTGGACCTCGGCCATCCCTATATGGCACTTGCTGGGCGTCATGCCTGCTCTCCGGATCATGTCTAACACAGCTCATATGTGCTCCTCCCATGGAATACTAAAGATGGCGATGTCATCTAGGTATGCATAGGCATAGTCCTGGAGTCCAGTCTACCATCCACTGGAACATAGCTGGAGCGTTCTTCCGGCGTAACCCGAAACTGGTATAAGCTGAACAGTGTGACGAATGCTGACTAAGGGATGGCATCCTCAGCTATATAGACCACACTATGAGGGTCTTAAAAGTCAGGACTATGAAACATAGCAACAGTATCCAAAAAAGTTATATGTCCCACTCCAATGTAATTCATGGCCACAAATTTAATTTCAGTTTTTGTTATTATGTCTTGACTCTATACTACCTGTGAATAGCACTGAATCTATAAAAAGAGCATTAGAACTGTATTTCTGGTGCTGCTGTAAAGACCAAAATATATACAAAATACAAATAAGGAACAGAATACACTCAAAAAAATTACCCCCTATTTGGAATTTAGACCAGATTCATGTTTGGGTTAAGCACCCCACCCTTCCAATATAGGTGTTTCTTTAGAAATGACCATAGGAAAGCATTCATTTGAGGGAAGTCTCATCTTCCATGGTAAAATTAGCATAGAACCCACCGATATTGGGGTACTGTGATGTAGTGATGGGGCAAACAATATTGCCATATGGTGTAACTGAATCCCCATATCTGTTTGCTAAGACAGGTGATTTTAAGTAGCCTTGTAATATGTAAAACAGTATTTTTTCTTTGTGTATGTGATGTTCCTTCATCTGTATTTTGTAAAGCAGCATACAGTCACAATTATACACCATATCATATACAGTCACATGGACACAGACATACAATCAAATCTACAAATCTACAAATACAGTCACTTGCTTACCCTGTCACATACATACAGACAATCATTCACACAATCAGACATGCACAGTCACAAGGACACAGTCATTCATGCATATAGCCAGATGTCACTCAAAATTAACCATTAACCGCCCCTCCCCCCCCAACCTCCCCCCACTTGGCAGTGGCGGTTCCAGAAACTAATATCGGGAGGGGCACTGGCAGATCATTTAAAGAAACAATCCAGGCACAATAACCACTACAGCTCTCTGTAGTGGTTTTGGTGCCAGGAGTGCCGTGGCACCCTCCCAGAGTAAGGAGTCAAACCGTTTAAAAAAAAGCCAAAACAGTTTGATAACTTGCCTGGGGTCTGCCGGGATAGGGGCAGTAGTGTGTATGTGTGTGAGGGGGGCAGTGTGTGTGAGGGTCGCAGTAGGTGTATGGAGGGGCAGTGTGTGAGTATGGGGGGGCAGTGCGTGTGTGTGAGGGGTTCAGTGTATGTATGGAGGGACAGTGTGTGTATTGGGAACAGTTTGTGTGTGAGGGGCAGAGTGTGTGTGTAAGGGGGCAGTGTGTTTTTGTGTGAGGAGTGCAGTGTGTGTATGGGGGGTGCAGTGTGTGTATTGGGGCAGTGTGTGTATGGGGAAAATTGTGTAAGGGGGGCAGTGTGTGTAATGTAAGTAAGAGCTCCCCCGGGTCCTCTTTTCCTCTCCCTCTCCTGCTGGCTGGCAGCAATGTGCCTGTGGGCCGAGGAGGGAGATCACTGATCTCCCCTCCGGTCCGTAAAGGCAAACAGCACGGCAGCAGGAGAGAGCCTCCGCTTCCCTATTTTTTCTGTTTGTATTCCTAACGCTATAGTGTTCATTTGATTTATTCATCCTTATTTTCCTTCCACTCCTACATCACTTTGCATCATAGGATCTTTGCAGGGACTTTTATGAGTCCATCTGCCTTACGCGGAAGGACTGTAAATTATTTCACACCTTCCTTCACGGTACACAGTTCTACTCATTTTCTGCAGAGGAGATATGGAGGGCTCTATGCTCTCTTTATTATTGATGCCTTCTCAGTTTAACACCTGTTTATTAATAATATAAAACTGTGCAGACTATCTATTTGCCATGTTTGACAATGTAAGATTCTATTAAGCTTGTGACTGCTGATGTGGCAAGACGGGCTCGTTTGATATCACTTGCACAATAAAAATAAAGAATTTAAAAAAAAACAAAAAAAAACCAGTTTGATAACTTGCCTGGGGTCTGCCGGGATAGGGGCAGTAGTGTGTATGTGTGTGAGGGGGGCAGTGTGTGTGAGGGTCGCAGTAGGTGTATGGAGGGGCAGTGTGTGAGTATGGGGGGGCAGTGCGTGTGTTGAGGGGTTCAGTGTATGTATGGAGGGACAGTGTGTGTATTGGGGTATATTGTGTGTATTGGGGCAGTGTGTGTATGGGGAAAATTGTGTAAGGGGGGCAGTGTGTGTAATGTAAGTAAGAGCTCCCCCGGGTCCTCTTTTCCTCTCCCTCTCCTGCTGGCTGGCAGCAATGTGCCTGTGGGCCGAGGAGGGAGATCACTGATCTCCCCTCCGGTCCGTAAAGGCAAACAGCACGGCAGCAGGAGAGAGCCTCCGCTTCCCTATTTTTTCTGTTTGTATTCCTAACGCTATAGTGTTCATTTGATTTATTCATCCTTATTTTCCTTCCACTCCTACATCACTTTGCATCATAGGATCTTTGCTGGGACTTTTATGAGTCCATCTGTCTTACGCGGAAGGACTGTAAATTATTTCACACCTTCCTTCACGGTACACAGTTCTACTCATTTTCTGCAGAGGAGATATGGAGGGCTCTATGCACAAACTGGATTTACCCCAACAATTATATTTACATTCAGATGGTGTTCTGTAATTTCTGAAACAAATAATGACTGGTAAGTGGTTTGTTTAATTTGGCTATAAATAATAAAATGAAAAACTATTTTACTTTACTTCATTAAAGATGCTTACAAGCAAGAAACTATTTCCTCACAATAAAGTACACAATCATCTGCTTCTTCTTCTTTTTATTTACAAAACAGTTTAGCAATTTACCTGGCATTCTACAAAAACACAAAAATACAATAGAACTGTTTGATCAATTGTAAGTTCCTGTTTTGACTAATGCATACACGCTGACATCCTCAACAGGCACGTCTTGTGAAACATTCTTCTTTTTTAAAGCATTAGTGTTCAGTATGGCGTAAGTTATCCCATCCTCATCTTTGTCATCGCTTATATTTTCCGCCTACATTTTTAAGAAAAGAGAAGAACTAGAGTTATTGACGTCTCTGTTTGTATCCTTAACATTTCATCTGAAGAACAGAAGCTCAGCTAAATGGATATCATTTTTAAAATTGCAACTATTTATATACCGTCAACATGTTATGTAGCACTGTACAACAAGACGAACAATTAATTCTAACAAAACCCGTTTGACATACAGGACAATCAAGGAAGGAAACAATTAGAATATGGACAAACATTTTCGTTGCTCCTGAGTTGGAAAGGGGCAAATGCGAGAAATGTTTTTAAGGTCCAAGTGACAGGATTTGGTGATAGAGTTTATATAAAGGGTGAGTCAAAGAGCACACCAAGATTACGTGTCAATGGGGTAGAGGATATGATAGCTTTGTTGACCTGAAGGGAAACAAGGACAGACCTAACATAAAAGGGAGAAAAGGCAAGAGTTCAGTCTTGCAGAGGTTGAATTTTAGAAATTGTGAACTCCTCTAATCATAAATATAGGATAGACAGTCAGTGACACAATCCAGCAGAAAGCAAGAAAGATCAGGCGGGGTGAAGTATCTCTCTATCACCAGCATGAGGGCATCTAAGATAGCCAGACATGTTTCTTTCTAGCTCTTGCTAATTTGAGCTAAACACAGGCTTATACCACACTAAACCTCCCACTCAAATCAGGGACCACCCTTACTTTTAGCTACATCGTATTTGACTTTCTTAAAGGTGCCCAGGCAGAGAAAAACTGAGAACGACACTGTGGTCTACTGACGTCCTGTGCAGGGGGCACCATGCAGCCGATACAGCTCACACATGGCCAGCCAGGATTATAAAAAACAAAACAAAAACAATATTGAGGCAGAGGTGGAGCTTACCGTGTGGTGGGGACAGAGCTAAACTGATGACAGGGGGCAGAGATAAAAGTGCCGGCTAACTGCTGCAGGGGAAGCAGGAAGGAGTCCCTGCTTCCCCAACAACCAGTCTCCAGGAGCTGAACTGCCTCCACTCCTCCATAATGAACAGAGGTAACTATGTGTGATTGTCTGCCTGTGTGTGTGGCTGTCTGTCTGTGTGTTTCACTGTCTGCCTGTGTGTGTCTATGTGACTGTCTGCCTGTGTGTGTGACTGCCTGTGTGTGACTGTCTGCCTGTGCGTGTGTCTGTGTGGCTGCGTGTGTGTGTGTCTGTCTGCCTGTGTGTGTGTGTGTGTGTGTGTGTGTATGTGTGTGTGTATGTGTGTGGCTGTCTGCCTGTGTGTATGTGTGGTTGTCTGTGTGTGACTGCCTGCCTGTGTGTGTGTGTCTGCCTGTGTGTATGTGTGGGTGTGTGTGTGTGTGTGACTGTCTGTAAGTAAGTATGTGTGTGTGGAAGACAGTATGTGTGGCTTTGTGTGGGGGGCTGTCTGCCTGTGTGTGTGTGTGTGTATGTGTGGCTGTCTGCCTGTAATTGTGTGTGAGCGTATTTATCTGCCTGTAACTGTGTATGTGTGTCACTGCCTTTACCTGTGTGTTTCTGCCTGATCCTGGGTATGTGACTATCTGCCTGCGACTGTGTGCATGTGGTGTATTTTACCGTGTATATGTATAACTGTGTGCATCTGACTGTAGTACTGTGTGCAAATAACTCTGCAAAAATATACACCTGTGTTCACACATAGGCCTAAATGCATATTTTTATTTGAATTAAATACCCATCACACACAGTGAATAAACCCAGCACAAATATCACATACAACCAATACACACATCACACACAGTTAATACACCCATTAATATCACACACAGTTAATACATAGCATACATATCACACACAGTCATCAAGCCTACCACATACACAGACAACACAATCATTACATCATATTATAGTGAGGTGTATTACAGTGGAGCTCTGGTATATAAAATGCACATTACTCTGTGTTTTATAGTTAAGGAGCTCTGTGATACACTAATAGACACATTACTTAGAGTTGTATTGTTGTGTAGTGTATGATCTTGTCACAGGGCTCCACATTTCTGGGAGTTTTATTGTTGTGGAGCTCTGTGATAAATGGAGAAGTAGGGGCATTACTACAATTTTTTATTCCAAAGAGGTCAAGGTAAATAAGTATAATCCAGAGCTCCAAAGCAAAACCACTCACAGTATTATGTGATAGACATGTGCAATTTTTTTCGGTCCGAATTTAAATTCGGATGAATTTCGGCAATTCGGACATTCGGATGCTTCCAAATTGCCGAATTTCGGAAGTGCCGAACCAAACCGAATTGCCGAAGTCCCGAATTGGCAAATCCCCAAACTGCAGAAGTCCTGAATTTCAGAAGTGCTTCGGATTTCTGAAAAGTGGCAAAAGAGGAGAGGGAAGGAAAATTAAGGGAATGATGACAGAAATCTAACCCTAGCCCTAAACCCACCCCTACCTATTACTCTAACCCTACCCCTAATCCTACTAGGGTTGGGGTTAGGTTTAGGGGTAGGGGTAGAGGAAGGTTGAGGTTAGGGGTAGGGTTGGGTAGCATTAGGGGTAGAGGTTAGCTTTGGGTTAGGGTAGGGTTGGGTTATGGTTAGTGTTGGGGTATGGATAGGGTTAGGGTTGGGTTAGGGGTAGGGTTATTTTAGGGGTTAGGAGTGGGGTTAGGGGATAGGGTTAGGGTTAGGAACCCAAACTGATTTTTTTGCCCATGCACATCCCTATTATGTGACATACTTAATCTGCTCCTCTATAATGTAGGGCAGGCAGTCTGGCAATTCTGGCCTGCACTTCTGTTGGCTGCAGACCAAAAGTAGGTGTCTTCCTAGCTCGGGATAATCAGAGCGCTGCAGATTACCACAGGACACTGCAAGTCCCTGAGCTTGCGAGACAGTTACACATGGTCTGTACCCAGCGGAGGGGCAGACCAGATTCAGTTCAGCATGCTCCTCTCCCAACTAGCTAACAACATGAGGGGAGGAATGAATATAGTTTTTAAATCATTATTAATGTAATAAATCTCTATACAATAACTACACACCTATACACACACACTATACATGGATGATGGGGGAGCGCTGTGAAGATTTTTCACATAGGGCGCCTAAAGGCCTAAGACCGGCCCTGATCAAGTGCACATCTTGGTGTGGACCATTCATAGCCCCATTACTCTTACCCCCTACTTTAGACCGTCGGGGTTATCCCAGTCCGAACTAGGCCAGAAAGCCATTGCACTCAACAACTTTGGGTCTGGGGCATCCAAGATGGCCGCCACAATGGAATCTCTACATTATCGACTGAGCCCAGAGATTCAGCAGGGGAAGGAGGTTTTCAATGCAATGTCTAAAGCAATATACCAAGAATTCTGGAGCAGCATCTATAGCAGTTCTCCAGTGCTGCACAAGTATCCCATTATGCAGACTCAGCCACCTGTCCTTCTTCCGGTCCAGGGACCAACTGGCAGACATCTCTATACCACCATCCAAATGTCCATGCGGAAGCCCAAACAACAGAGGACCTGTGGGCTCAAGAATCAGCCATCATGGGTAGGAGGCTCATTGGACTAATGGGATTGGCCCACATCGAGGCATGTAGGATGATCGTACTTAGGAACTTTTGTAGTTTTATGCACCATTTACAATACACCTATTATAAATGTAGAGTTAGGTGCTTTGGTCCTGTACATTTTCCTTTATGATCTCTTATGGCTCTCTAACTTCCTGTGATCTTTTCTATGCCTTTCTTACTATAAGTAAGTTTAGTTTTGCTCTATTGTTTTGCTTTACTATTCAAGTAACTTGCCAGCTATATCTTTTTTTTTTCTTTACTTAAAATGAGGTATGCTTGATTGGTTTGTGACATGTTGCCCTCATGTTGTACATTATAGTAATAGCACCACAATGCTTATTACCCATACCCATTACATTCGTGATTTCGTTACTGTCACTGCTATGCAACTGCGTATGTTTCTAATATGTGCCTCAATAAAAATTTTGATTGACAAAAAAATAAACCATAGGATAATATCAGGTTACCAAAAGAGGCAAGTAAATTGAACAGAGGTCTCAGAACAGAGCCTTGAGGAACACCAACCGAGAGAGGTAAATAAGAAAAGGAGGAACATGACAAGGAAAGTTCTTGCTCCACCAGTCCCACATTTCAAAATCCTTCGTTGTGTATCACTGTTTCTGGGGATGTGTGGGGATTGGGACATTCTGGAGACAAGAAGTTATGTAACTCGACTACTGGGTAGATTATTTAGTATTTTTCTATTACTAGAAACACTGGGGGTAACAACGGAAGAGTCAAGTCATGTTTCTAAACTTCCACTGTGGCATGTAAAATTATATTACACCACTGGATCAGTCCTTTCACGTCTTCACTATAACTGCTTCGCAAAAAAATGTCCTTCCTATTCCGCATGGATTGGATAGAAGCCTCATTAAACAAAAGCACATTGGCAAAAACATTTGTTTCTTACTTGGAAACATTATATTAACTTACAGGATACCTCTATTTAATCTAAAATTGTATCTACTTTCAAATTTACAGAGTGGTATATATATATATATATATATATATATATATATAGGCTAACAGCAGGCCAACTCCCTATAGTTTAATATTACAAACCTCTTGAAACTGGGCAATTCAGATTTGTTACCCCCAGTATTGCTTCAACTCTACTGTACCAAAGCTGTAGGCCTTATTTACTGTGCCTTCACATATGGCTGGTTAAAGAGAGCATATCTAGTTCAGTTTTGAGTTTATGTTTTGTTGTTCCTTTTATTTTCCTTTTAAACAAAAATGTTATGTAAGATAAGTCATTAGTCTCAATTCTGCTATTTTTAAATGTGTGACGGATCACCATGTCCCTGGATTGTAAAGCCTTCATTTCATTCCCTTATGAGTTCGGCACATTACCTTCTATTTAGTTTATTTCTGATTTCTTGCCCTACCGAACAAACTACCGAACGACCAGATCACCCGTGTGTGGAGTGTGTCCCTCATTAACCTCTATCACCTCTGTAACACCTTGAAAACCACAAGCATTCTAAGCAGTCTGTTGGGTGGTCGGCGTTCGGTATACGAACACGTGGCGGCGCCATATTTAGCTGCAAACACATACAGAAGTGTTTGTTCGTCGAGTGCATGGAATTATAATCGGACACTCGACAACGTGAACACCGTTGGGACTTCCATACCTTCATCTGGATTCGTATGAAAAGAGTGGCGTTCGCTAGGAATAAGCTCCTGAACCAAAAACATAGTACCCATACGAACTCCTACGTTCGGTATTTTGACTGTTTCATGTATTCCCGAAATAGACAGACATACATACACACTCACTGACAAAACATACACTCTCATTGACAAACACACACTCACTAACAGACATCAAACAGACTCACTAACACACACACTCTGTAAGACACACACAGTAACACACTCACTGACACTCACTAGCAGACACACACACTCACACTCACTCTAACACTCACTAGCAGACACACACACTAACACTCACTAGCAGACACACAGCAGACACACACACTAACACTCACACTGACACACACACTAACACTCACACTAACACTCACTAGCAGACACACTAACACTCACTCTAACACTCACACACACTAACAGTCACTAGCAGACACACTAACACTCACACACACTAACACTCACTCTAACACTCACACACACTCTCACTAGCAGACACACACACTAACACACACACACTAACACTCACTCTAACACTCACACACACTAACACTCACTAGCAGATACACACACTAACACTCACTCTAACACACACTAACACTCACACACACTCACACATTAACACTCACTAGCAGACACACACACACTAACACTCACTCTAACACTCACACACACTAACACTCACTCTAACACTCACACACACTAACACTCACTAGCAGACACACACACTAACACTCACTCTAACACTCACACACTAACACTCACTAGCAGACACACACACTAACACTCACACTCACTAACACTCACTCTAACACTCACACACACTAACATTCACTAGCAGACACACACACTAACACTCACTCTAACACTCACACACACACTAACACTCACTCTAACACTCACACACAAACACTAACACTATTTTTTTTAATTTAATCCCCCCAGCCTCCTTACCTTTTGGAGTGCTGGGGGGATTCCCTGGGGTCCAGTGGTGCTGCTGACCCCAGGCAGGCGGGTGGCCGGTCGGGCAGGCGGGCGCGCGAGGGAGCACTCAGTGCTTCCTCTTCAGCTCCCTCGCGCGCCGCGTAGGGATGCCGGAGCTGGAAGATGACGTCATCTTCCGGCTCTGGTATCAGTGCGGTGCGCGAGGGAGCTGAAGAGGAAGCAGTGAGTGCTCCCTCGCGCGCCAGCCTGCCCGACCGGCCACCCGCCTGCCTGGGGTCAGCAGGGCCAGCCTCGGGGGGCCCTGGGGTGGTCGGCTCCTGGGCCCCCCAGGGGAAGAGGCTGGCCCTGGGCGTACATTCCGGGTCACAGGGGCGGCCGGGCCCCCTGGTGGGCCGGGCCCGGTCGCAGCCGCGACCCCTGCGACCCTGGTATGTACGCCACTGGCTGTCTCTCTTCTGCTTGGAGTGCTTAATCACTAGCTCTTGTAAGAGCTGTTCCTGCTCTGTACTACAGCATCCCTCCCACTAAGGGGAAAAGAACATCTCTGGCAGCGAAACCCCTCTTCCCATCGGGGAGGCCGCCACAAAATGCAACATCTCTGAGTGTCCTGCTTGCTGTTCTACTAAAAGTTTTGGGTCGTGCGAGAAGGTGGATAAGAGGAAGTTTAAGTATGTTTGGGAAGAGAGAGGGAACAAACATAACAGAAATTTGTAGTGCAGGAAGTCAGCTGTACTTTGACACTTACTCCTTAAACATAAATAAAACATATTAAAGTAATAACACAAATATTTAACTGCTAACTACAATGCTAGATTAAGCAATAGCTCAAAAGTCCTGTATTGCGTTCTATCTAAACTAGTTTACTCATTGTCAAATGTATGTCTGTGTTCAGAAAAGGAAATAGATCAGTAGATATGGTTAAATACTAAACCCACACTGCTTTTCATATACATGAAGAATTTGCAAAACTCACTAGAGCTAAGGTCATCCATTCCCAGAAATAGAGCACCCATTCCCTGAAGTAGGCTTCTCTTATACATCTGACTAAGTGTACATTGTGCATCTATGGGATGCACAATGTAAGATCTATGTCTTTGAAAGGTTGTTTCTGAGCAGGGAAAGCTCATTTTGAAGTGAGGGAAGTTGATTTCTCCTGTGTAAGATTTATAAAAAATTGTGCAATAATAAAACATATTAATACAACACAACAATTTATATTAAGGCCACTTGTTATTGTCTTTAGATACAGCCATATAAAAATAAACACATATGGTAAATGTATGAGTCCTTTCACTGATCGATACACTACAGCCATTGTACTAGCTGAGATCCATGCATTCCTGTAAATTTTACTTACATTTAAATAGCTCTCTTTCCCATGTTCGTCCGCAGAGAAATCTGCCAAAAAATAAAAACAAAATCATGAAAATTGCGTATAGTTGCAAACTTCCACAAAATGGTGTGATTTATGCATTTGTAAATCAAAATATTGTGTCTAACTGCCAGGATCAGGCAATTTCTATTGTAATTATAGTGCTTGTCTTTTGGGACCAATCTTTATCTTTATTTTACCAGGCTGTACATAGTTACATAGTTACATAGCTGAAAAGAGACTTGTGTCCATCAAGTTCAGCCTTCCTCACATTTGTTTTTTGCTGTTGATCCAAAAGAAGGCAAAAAAAAACAGTGTGAAGCACAATTTTGCAACAAGCTAGGAAAAAAATTCCTTCTTGACTCCAGAATGGCAGTCAGATTTATCCTTGGATCAAGCAGTTATTACCCTACATTGAAAGAATATATCCTTGAATATTCTGTTTTTGCAAGTATGCATCTAGTAGCTGTTTGAACATCTGTATGGACTCTGATAAAACCACTTCTTCAGGCAGAGAATTCCACATCCGGATTGTTCTTACAGTAAAAAAACCTTTACTTTGCCTTAGACGAAACCTTTAACCTTTAGAAAAGAAAAATAATCTTTTACATATATTCACTCTCTGATCAAGTGTTGAGCTTTCTATTAGATGGCCACCAGTGAAGCAAATTGTGTCACTGGTGACTTCTCAAAGCCCCCCTCCCTTACCCTCTCCCACTTCCAATGTTAGGCATGTGACTAATCAATTAGAATGTGACTAATCAATTTCCACCTATGTGACATATGCAAAGTGTAGGAGAAATTGTAACGTTATCTCAAAAATGCAAAATCATAGTTTCTGTTCAAGTGATACATATTTTTGCAAATTACTAATTGGCATTTGGTGACAAACATTATAGATTAGAGATGATGTTACTTACACACTGGTTCCATGACATCTGCTGGTTTGTCATCAAGTGGTAATGCACTAGAATTTAGAAATTTAAATAGTTACCAAAATAAAGCATCCAAAGTGATGAAAAGATGACATGAATTTATAGCCAGCCAAGGGTTGGTTTAGAATGAATTTTATAGGAGCTTTTCCCATATTTTCTTTTCTATTCCCTTTCTTATGCAATTTAAATTTTTTACATTCCAAAATAGCTACCCCTGTCATTCCCCAACATTTTCCTTTTTTCTGACTTCCTTGAAAAATATGTAGCATAGCTACAAGAATATCTATCCTCCCCCAAGAATGAGATTCGATGACAAATACCTCTTTGTAGTGCAGTAACTAATCTTATAAAATATATGAATAAACTAAACAGTCAGGATCTAGTTAAACTCAGGTATTACTCCGACTGCTAGCACCAAATTTTTGCTGTGTTGCAGTACTTGTGGTTTTCCTGTGTTCCTATGTGTATATAAACAGCCCCATCCCCTATTTAATCACTCTATTCTAAGTCTACTGCTGGTAAGTTAATTTCTAATGTCTAGTACTTTTAATCACATGTTTCCGTTTAAGGTTAGTATAGGAATCACCTATAGTGATGTACTGAGAAGTGGTCAGCCTTCATCTCCAGACCATTAGTTGTAATCAAACATTCATTTCTTATCAGCACCAGGTCCTATTGTTAGATCTCTCTATTTTTATTTATGTTCATGCTAAATTACATAGTGCAGTGGCAAAGCGTTAAAAAGTATTTTAAAAAATGGTCTTTCTATGTGAGAGTGCAGAGAGGTGGGTTCTCATCTCACGAGACATACAACAAATCACTAGAGTCAGATCCTGCACGGATGACTTTAATGACATATTCCATCAAACAGATTGATTAAAATCATCCTTTATTCAAAAACAAAATTATATTTGGACATAATGTGCAGGGGCACAAGGAAGGGTGACGCTGATGCGTGTTGTACTACGCAAGGCACTTCCTCCTTATTTTTGAATAAAAGAGGATTTTAATCTGTTTGATGGATAGTGACATGTATGTACGGAATTCAGGATCCAGCGCTGGTGATGTATTTTATGTCCATGCTCCTTGTCTTTTGAGTGTATATTTTTGTGACTCTGGACTTGACTCATACTCTGTGCCCTGAAGAACACCTACTTCTCTATTATTCATCCTGGTCAAACCTTGTTTCCTTAAATATTTTATTGTTCAGGTGGAAATTGGTGGAAATCTCTAAACAGCATATGACCTGTTTCGGTTTTGGTTATTAGTTTTCTACATTAATACAACATACATTTTTAAGCTGTTCAACTATATTTACTTCTTACTTTCAGAAATAGAGCAAAACAAGGCAATTTATTTTCCAACTTACCAATTTTCTGTATTATTTTTAGAATTCTCTGTAAAAATAAACAAGTTAAAAAATATGTATAATACACATTTGAAAATGGAATAATAAGCACTCATGTACATTATTGCAGATCCTCTTTAAAGGCACTCTTCAATTTTCAACTTAAATAAAAATTATACTTTAAAAGTTTTGTTTTTAGTACATACTATTTCTTTCAGTGGGGACTTAGTGAGCGTCAGTAGGTTCATGTGTTCCAACGTCTGATTCAAAAATGGATTAACTCCTGAAAGTATGATGGTGCCCGGACACTTTGTCCCAATACCAACTAAAAAAGTTTACATCATTGTCAGGGGTTTGGAGTGTTTCCTAAAGCAAACTTCCATTTCAGTTGCTAAGCTAAGTTATCCACGATCTGCCAGTCAAATGTATTTTACAAAAGTGAAAACGGCAGACACTAGGAACAGAGAAGAACAAAATGGCAGTGCCTTGATATTGGAATGCAGCACAAGAACAAGAGAAGATAATACATATAAAAAAGGGACATATTGAAAGGAACATTGAAAGAATAAAAATACGGCAGTGCCACTTTAAGTAACTCACTAATAAGCACCAAAAAAGCAGTATAAATTTAGTCTGGGTCAACACCTTTAAAGAGCCACTGAGCTAGACACAAAACTATCAAAAGAGTCAAGATGAGCTTGAGTGTTAGTGTAGAGATGAATAGTTAGCATGATGCTTTAGCAAAAGTAAAGGTCATTCAGATTAGACCACTTGGTAAATGTGCAAAAATCTAATATCAAATACGGTATGCCTTGAACACCACAGAACTGGTCAAGCAAAACATATTATTTTGCTTTAATGAATTCCTAAGCAATACTTACTATGCTTCCTTATGATGCAGCATGCTATGATCAGAACACAGATAAGTACCACTAGGGCACTCACAGATGAAATAATAGGAATCAGTGGGTCTGAAATAGACAGACAGAGAGTTATACCGTACATTCCGCAAGTCACAATCCCATTACAAAATGTTCAATCAAGAAAGGATCACACCTGAAATGTTTTCCTAAGATGCTACTATTGCACTATAAACCCTATGTTAGCATTGGTCTGCAGACCTTCTATATACTCAGAGGTGTCAATAGAATACTGTCACGGCGCAGGGGGTCTGTATTGATGCGGTTGCGCCTGATGAGTGCGACCTGACCAATACTTCAGAGATAAGTAAGTCCCTGATCAGCACGGCCGCACATGAGCAGGGCGGTAGTGCCGTAAAAGGGAATTATAGCTTACCTGGATTGCGCCCGAGTGCCGGGTCCTGGCTGGTGCGACGTTCTAAGGGGCGTTCTAAGGGACGTTGGCCGATGCGGTCCCTTTCTTCAAGTTAAAGGGCGCACTGTCCATATTAGAGATGGCACCGGTGTGCGTGTGTGATGTCACGCTATCGACGCACACGCATGTTTTGGGGTCAAAGGCTGTGTAATAACCAATCACAGCACTGAGAAGAATATTTAAACACTGTTATGCCTTTTCTCAGTGCCCTGCCATGGTTTCCACTTGTTGGTTGTCAGAGAGCGAGTTCTTGGTTATATTTTCAGTTTTTTTTACTTTGGCTTGTTTTTGACTTTCCCTACTTCTGGTATTCTGACCATTGGCTAGTTTATTCGTATTGTCTCTTTCTGTATACCCGACCATGGCTTGTTATTTTGACCATTCTCTTTTACATTCAGTCCGGCTATATAAGTTGTTTGAGTTGATATAGTTTTGCGTATTGGGTCAAACAGTAATCGTGACAAATACTATAACACACATAAGCTTGCAAAAGGATGATCAGATAGGTAAAACTTGAAAATGAAAAGATCATAGCCAAACAGAGCAAGACCAACCTCCAAATTTCTTTCTATGTACATTGATGCCAAAAATGTTAAGAGTAAAAGTGTTGGTCCATTGGAATCTGAGATTGGTGTGTTAATCAAGAAGGAGCAGGACAGGGCAGACATTCTAAGAAAAAAATGTTCTTCAGTATACGGGGAAGTCTTACAGCAAACAGGAGATTGGTTAACACAGGATAAAGTGCTACGGCAAGTTAATGTAAACCAAGCCCCAGGGCCAGATAGAATTCACCCACAAGAGCCTATGGAGCATAGTGTACCACTGTTTTTAATACTTTAGGATTCTTTTCAAGATTATCTCTCCCTGTGTCTATATATAGGGAAGTATACTTCGTAACAAAATTAAGTTCAAGCTATACAGCTATATACAGCTAATGGGAGCGTCAAGAGGCTATCTAAGACTGATTTTCTGGTCTAGTTATTTCTCCTTATTTTACTTACACCTCATCAAATGTTTTACACACTTTTAACTATTTGATTTGCTTGCTCTATATGTGTTTGTCCTGTTTTATGTAACATATATACCGAGGGATTTGGATAAGTTGGGGGACTGAGCAGGCAATTGGCAGATGAGAGTCAATAAAGATAAATGTAAAGTTATGCATTTTTAACTAAGGTACCCACAAGCCATTAATACTTTAAATGGGGTTAAGTTAGGGATAACCTTAAATGAAAACAGACTTGAGAACAATTATAGATAACAAACTAGGCAACAGTATGCAATGCAGACCTGTCATTGCAAAAGACTAGTGAGGTACATTTGTGTATAAAAGAGATCATTTAAATATTTTACATCATATATACATAGTTAAATATACACATTTATATTGAAAGCAATTAAGGGATGTAATGATGTCTGTAGATGATTGATATTACCAAATTCAGATCGTCACCATGGCTAAATGTTGGACATTGTGAATTGAAGAAATGATTTTGCTTTCTCTAAACAAAACTGGATGCAAAAAAATAGACTGAAAATTACTCATCATCAAACCATGTTATGTTTTTCTATTTCACAATGGTCCAGTATGGTGCAATAAAGAAAACAGTTATCCATCTGTGCATTGGCTATAGATACAAGAGATGTAAGAAAGACAAGCTCTTTTGTTGTAATTGGGATAAAAATGTGCTGATCCAATCTTGCCACGTCATGTGAGATATTCATCTATCTTAAATGTATTTTAGAGGTTCTTCATTATCCAGTGTGTAATTTGGGCACAGACATTTGGCCTCATAAGGTGAGTAAAAACAACAAATACACAGAGAATACCTCTTTTTCACTGATTAATTTACAAGCACTTAATTAATGCATAAAATAATAAGAAAACATTTACTCATGCAAAACATGCATTTGCGAAAGTAATGCCATGCCAAGGTCCCAAAGACAGTCTTGTGCGTTATTTAGCAAAACTCAGAATCGCAAATGATCCCGCCATACGTTTCGGGCCATTGATGTGCATTCTTGACTCGCTCTCCGACCATCGACCTCCTGTGGACACACCCTCGCAGTGGGCGCCCCATTCATGGAGCCACAGGAGTTAAAATAGCTGCGGTCGGCAATTTGGCCCCTAGATCTGCTGACCCTGGTAGAGACCTGCCCCTGGAATTCACTCCTCATGGATGACTGGGCCTTATCTAGGGCATTTAAGGCCCCAACAAAATGATCTTTAAGAAAGGAATTGCCAAACAGCAGACCCTGGGTATCTTTACCAGCCAGTGAGGGCGAGATTGGCCAATTTAGGCTCGATTTTAAATAAAATGGCTTTGCCCTGCTCCATAGAGAGGGAGGCGTTCACGCTGCCAGCAATACAAAAGGCCCTTTGGACCTAACCATGGGGTTCCTCCGGGTCGACCAACCTGTTATCGGCCCTGGAGTCCTCTGCCAGATCAAAAAGCTTAGCCATGGGGCAAAAAATATCTAAAATGTTTGTATTGGCATGATCTGAGTGCTGAATTAAGGCCCTTATGTGGGTTCCAACACAGCTTGGTCAAGAACTGTGTTATATTGGGGTCAACGTTTGGGGTGTCACACACCTTGTTAGGTACCACCAGTCTAGGGCACTCATCTCTAAGCTTGTTACGTGCTGCTTTGCTAAGGGGGCGCCGCAACCAAGTTTCCAGGTAACGGGCCACATGGTCCACTGGAAGCCACTCGGCCAACCTTGGATGAAATAGGTCACCCGGGTTGAACAAGGGCTCACCCAGATCAGCCGTAGGGTCGCTTCCCATCATCCCTGCCAGGGCAGAGGAAAGAGGTCAAGACCCATGTCCTCGGTACCATTCTCTGAGTCACTACCAGACTCAACACCAGCCTCCTTACTAGACCCGATTTCTGAGTCGGAGTCGCTCTCAGTTTGTGCTCCTGCACATTTCCACTACTGCTCCCGTTCTGCCTGCCGCGGAAAGGCTCTTTTGCATGGATTGGACACGCTTTCGGGGCGACCTGAGGTACGCCAGTCATGGTGTTTCTGGAGGCAGAGGGGGATTCACTCGCAGGCAATGAGGATTAAAAATCAAGTTACTGAAAAAGGTATATGAGGAGAATCCACTTTTAAATACTATAAAAGAAGTAGAAGCAATGGATAGATCTTCTCTTTTAAAATACAAATCTAAAACAAAGAACGAAACCAACATTTTGCTCTTTATTTGTAATTTTAATCAAGAAAGTCAGAAAATAAAACGTATAATAATAAATAAATACTGGCCTATGTTAAGAAATTACCCTATGCTATATACTATATTACCAGAGAAACCTAGACTTATATATAGGGGAGCCCCTAATTTAAGACAGAAGTTAACCCACAACCATATAAAAGAGAAGAAACCAAATTCATTCTTCCAAAAAGAGGGCTTTATTGGTTGTGGGCAATGCCTAGCATGTAGGAGCACAAAAAACGCTAAGAGACACATAACAAAGTTTCTGGATCCAAGTGGCCAAAAACAATATAAAATAAAGTATATGATTACATGTTTCTACAAAAGAGTAATCTATTTATTAAAATGTCCATGTAACCTTTTTTATGTTGGCAGAACAAAACGTCCCTTACAAGTCAGGATTAATGAACATATACGCAATATAAAGAAAGGATAAGACAAACACAGTGTCTCTGAACATTTTAAATTAGTGCATGGAAATGATCCCCAATTTTTAGACTTTTTTGCGATCCAAAAAGTTACATTAAACTGGCAAGGACAAGATGAAATAAGAAAATTAGGTAAAATTTAAACAAAATGGATTTTTAACTTGAATACTGTAGCGGATTGTGTTGGGCTGTCTTTAACTATTGGTGTTATAAGGTCATTTTCGTTTCATTTGTTTTCTATATACATGTATTGTATGAAGCATTCGTCTGATTGTTCGGTAAAACCACTCCGTTCGTCATATGAACAAACTACCGAACAATCAGACCACCCCAGAGAGAAGTGCGCCCCTAGTTTACCTCCCTGATCGGTGGTAACTGCAGTCTAATTAGCAATTAGACGAATGGTCTGTGTGTGTTCCCTGGATGACCGCTGTTCGGCATACGAACACGTGGCGGCGGCCATCTTGCCATACGAATGCCCAACGGTGCTTGGTCGTCGAGTGTCTGGAACTCAAATCGGACACTCGACTATGCGAACACTGCTAAGACCTCCAGAGTTTCATAATTACCCAAACCAAACACACGAACAGCCCTACGAACAAGGGGATTCATATGAACATCAGTACAGCTGTGGATGGCAAGGATTTTCGTATCTTTTACCCCACGGTCAAATGAACACTTCCACCTAACTCCCGAACCCCTGGTCTGATCTGGGTGATTTTTGAATATGTTGTTCACCCAGATCAGGGCGTCTATCTGGTATATTTGGGGTACATCCAAAAACAGGGGAAAGCCATGTACTGTATAAGTGAATTATCTGTTAAGCTGAAGGGAGGAGATGTGTGGGAGGTAACGTGTAAATGATTGGTTACTGTACTAATTACTGTGGGTGTCTCCCTTGTGTGGGAGAAATGCTTAAAAGTTGAGTATGTAGAATAAATCTTCAGTTCTGCTCCTGATACTGTGTGTCGTCCAGTTATTGGGAATCGTGATGGGATATTACTGGATTATTTTATTATCATTGATGCTGTTTATCCTGGATTAACTTCTTGTTCCTGCCTCACTGTTCTAATACCAGCGGAGAACTCTATGGGAAACTAGTGCTCCGCTACAAATACCCTTGCCCCATCCGGATTGAGTGCGGACTTTGAGCTATGCCATTTCTTATAATTATTTTTAGTCAAATTTTTATTGTCTAACTGTATTATTATTTTTATTTTTTAAACAGTTTATACATATATAGGAGTTTCCATTGCTACTCCTAAAGAATAGCAATATTTTCTTAATATATGCATTTTCAGCATAATTTTATCTATTAATACTGGGTATTTAAATATGCTTACTAAACATGCCTGTTTTCAAAATATAAATAGGACTCTCTGTAGAATATACTTCCTATGGAAAGATTAAAACATACATCTTGTCCTTTCAGAGAATTTTAATAAGAACCAAAAATAGTTTTTTTGAAGAGTTTGTTATATATATATATATATATATATATATATATATATATATATATATATATATATATATATATATATATATATATATATATATATATATATTCTTTTCACATTTCTATATACTACCACATGTATACTGTATGTACAATAAGGTATATATCTATCTCTGTGGACATTTTCACTAATATTCTAACAAAATGTACGTATTTAAGCAAGCTCAGTAAAAATAAATCACAATGTGGACATATATATATTTTTCTTACTATATATTTATTTGTACATTTGATATTTATACACATTTGTTTCTTTTTTCACACTCTGTTTTGAGTAAATCAAATATAGATTCACACACGGAATGCCAACCAATGGATTGTAACCGTGCTAATCATATATTAACACGGAACCTACTGGAAATACTAGTACTCACAAAGCATTGCGGGACTTGAATTTCGGGAAACAAAAACGGAAATGACGTTACGCCACTCTGAACGTCAGAGTAATTACATGAAACTCTGGATTGGACAGCCGAAAATTAGGCTGGAATGTAAGGGATACAAAAACCGGAACGAGCAGAATGAAGTTGAAGCTGACTGAGGAAGCCGATCTACACGGCGAAACGTGTCTTGGCAACAAGTGGACTACTAAATTGACTATTAGTAATATCCTTTTTGCTTTTATTATTTCATGTAATTGCTATTTTTTAATACAGTAATTTTAATTATTCTTTAATAAACCTACCATCAACTTTCATCTACATCCTGCACTGTGATTCCGGTAAGGGGAGTGTCACCCCCAAACTTGACACCAAGCCTACATACTTAGAGCCAGTTATTAAAAGGCTCTTGAGAAGGTGAGCACTTACCTAGTTTTGTGTATAAAATCACTCAAAATAATTATCAAAGGTACTGCACCTACAGGTGATACTCGAAAAATTAGAATATCGTGCAAAAGTTCATTTATTTCAGTAATGCAACGTAAACGGGGAAACTAATATATGAGATAGACGCATTACATGCAAAGCAATATAGTTCAAGCCAAGATTTGTCATAAGTGCGATGATTATGGCTTACAGCTCATGAAAACCCCAAATCCACAATCTCAGTAAATTAGAATATTGTGAATATGTGTAATATTCTAGGCTGACAGTGTCCCACTCTAATCAGCTAAGTAAGCCATAACACCTGCAAAGGGTTTCTGAGCACTTAAATGGTCTCTCAGTCTGGTTCAGTAGTAATCACAATCATGGGGAAGACTGCTGACCTGACAGTTGTGCAGAAAACCATCATTGAAATCCTCCATAAGGAGGGAAAGCCTCAAAGGGTAATTGCAAAGGAAGTTGGATGTTCCCAAAGTGCTGTATCAAAGCAAGTTATGTGGAAGGGAAAAGTGTGGAAGAAAAAGGTGCACAAGCAGCAGGGATGACCGCAGCCTGGAGAGGATTGTCAGGAAAAGGCCATTCAAAAGTGTTGGGGACTTTCACAAGGAGTGGACTGAGGCTGGAGTCAGTGCATCAAGAGCCACAACACACAGACGGATCCTGGACATGGGCTTCAGATGTCGTATTCCTCTTGTCAAACTGAACAACAAACAACGTCAGAAGCGTCTTACCTGGGCTAAAGAAAAACAGACCTGGTCTGTTGCTCAGTGGTCCAAAGTCCTCTTTTCTGATTAGAGCAACTTTTGCATCTCATTTGGATACCAAGGATCCAGAATCTGAAGGAAGAATGGAGAGGCACACACTACAAGATGCTTGAAGTCCAGTGTGAAGTTTCCACAGTCTGTGTTGATTTGGGGAGCCATGTCATCTGCTAGTGTTGGTCCAATGTGCTTCATTAAGTCCAGGGTCAATGCAGCCATCTACCAGGAGATTTTGGAGCACTTCATGTTTCCTTCCGCAGACAAGCTTTATGGGGATGCTGACTTCATTTTCCAGCAGGACTTGTCACCTGCCCACACTGCCAAAAGCACCAAAGCCTGGTTCAATGACCGTGGGATTACTGCACTTGATTGGCCAGCAAACTCGCCTGACCTGAACCCCATAGAGAATCTATGGGGCTTTGCCAAGAGATAGATGAGAGACATGAGGCCGAACAATGCAGAATAGCTGAAAGCCGCTATTGAAGCATCCTGGTCTCCCATAACACCTCAGCAGTACCACAGTGTGAAAGCTTCCATGCCATGCTGCATTGAGGCAGTAATTGCTGCAAAAGGGGCCCAGACAAAGTACTGAGTCCATTTGCATGCTTATACTTTTCAGAGGTCCGATATTGTTCTATGTACACTCCTTGTTTTATTGATTGCATGTAATATTCTAATTTACTGAGATTGTGGATTTGGGGTTTTCATGAGCTGTAAGCCATAATCATCGCACTTATGACAAATCACGTCTTGAACTATCTTGCTTTGCATGTAATGCGTCTATCTCATATATTAGTTTCCCCTTTTACGTTGCATTACTGAAATAAATGAACTTTTGCACGATATTCTAAATTTTTGAGTATCAACTGTAGATTTTGTTTTCCCCTGCACTTTTGTTTATTGCATATATCAAGGGGAGGAACGTATACATCATTCTGCAGAAAAGGGGTTGTGTTGTCTACCTTAAAGGCACAGGAATCTGGAAGTTTATATAGCCGTATATCTGGAAAAGGCTTTATAAAACGTGAGTGTATTTCCACTCACAACTCACAAATAACTATTTTTCTGCTACAATATACAATATTGCACTATTATTTGTATCTTTCTTTTGTCTTTAAGTATACCTCTTGTGTTGCAAAGATGGTAAGTGTTTTATGCACTTCTTTGAGGGAATGCTACCTCACATACTGGTATAGCGCTGCACTCAAACTGACAGCTTGGGAGGTGGAAACACCAACCAGACTTGAAGTTTATGGTTTTGAGGGGGATACATGCCTAGATTTTCGTGTAGCCTTTCTCGTTGTATCAAAGGATTCGTGGCCTCTGCGCCCAAAGGAAGAGCAAGCAATGCCTGGGATATACTCTGCTACAAAGCCGAAGACATTGAACCCATAGCTGTCATAATTGCTTCGGTCACAGACTATTGGAGTGCCAAGGACTGTGCGTCCTCCCTGGGAACAGGGAGCAGGGTCCCCCGCCGAGGGAGGGGAGCCAGCAGTAGATGGGGCATCCATCTTCCCAGGGGTAAGGAGCATACAGGCACCTTAGGCTTAGGCATGGCAGGCAAATATTTAAGACCCACAATAAACTAAAAAGTGCAATAGGCTAATGTGAATACTGTCAGGAAAAAGCAGTGCAAGTAGTGAGGGTTAATCATCCAAACTAGCAACCCAGAAGAAGGGACAGAAGGGAGCTCATCAGGGCCCAGACCAGCAACTAGAGACACAAAGCAGAAAGAGGCAGGGGCAGGAAGAAAACGGAAGGAAGCACAGTGAAAAATTGCAGGGAAAAAAATGCAAATTTGCATGAAAGAACTACCGAATGGGTGAATTTGTTCCTCTAACAACATGCGTTCGCGAACCGAATGCACCTAGTAAGGTAAACCCAGGTAGGTAAGAATCCGTGAATGAACAGTTTGCGAAGTTAAAAATCAATACGTATAAGACTACCAGACGTTCGCATACGAACTGCCGAACATGGGTCCTGAAACGGTGCAAATTGGGCCGAAAGGAGGTGCGAAATACCACCAAAAGGGCGCCAAAACGGACCTGAGACCCGGCAAGGAACAAGGAAGAGATACCCAGGCAGGAAAAGACAAAGAAAAAGGGGGGGAAAACACAGGTTCTCTAGAAGGGAAAGTACAAGAACCAAAGTAAGGTGAAATAAGCCAGTGGGGGGACCACACATTACAAGGGGAAAAAAGAAAACCTTTAGCCGGTCTGGGACCCTGAGCACAGGACAAAACACATTTACAGCAAACAGATACAAAAAAAAAACAGTAATATAACAGTACAAAGTATAAAGTATAGACACAGTATAAACAGGATTTTTGAAGAAGATGGGAAGTGTGCCTCAGATTGGGAATCTGCAAACCCATAATCTATTCTAAACCATCTCCAAGATTCTATTTCATCCTTTTATAGATAACTCCATAGGTCTTATTCATGTCACTACAGCAATTCTATAAATCTGCTTCAGGAATCTTAAAGATGCCAACATGTAAGGTATAGATCAGAAACTAGAAAGGCAAAAAAAGAAAGTAAAAAAGGAATGGAAGGGGATGGAGCCTGACACCGCACCGAAGTGGACGCACATTCCTAGTGCTCCTGCGGCACCCGTCTCAATCTGAAAAAATTGGGGGCATCCAGCACCAATTCTGGCCACACACCCTGCCATTGCATCCAGAACATCCAGCTGACCCGGGGGTGGACAGCAGCGAGCCACAGCGGAGGGACATACTTGACCTGGAAGATTGGCACCCCTGCCTACAGAGTACAGGTGAGATGGGACGCAGGTCTCAAAAAACGCTCCCACACACCCCAAAGCTGCAGCACGACATCGGCCAAATGCTGCAGGCACCAGAGATAGAGCGGACCCAGACTCCTCGTTACACCTCCCCACTGCCCTCAGAGAAAGGGAAAACCCCAGACAGCCCACAACTCAGTCCCCAAGAATCGCACCCCCATGGGTAGCAAAGGACAGCAACTCAGCCTCAAAAAGTGACATACAGGCCATGCTGACTGGCCTACAGCAGAATCTCAGACAAATGTGAGAGGCAGATCTGGCAGTGCTAAAAGTAGACGTGCAAGCAGTGACAATACGCATGCAGGCAACAGAGAAGGAAGTTGAGGGCCTGAAACAGGGACTACAAGCACTGGAGGAGAAGGTGCAACACCTACACTCTACACAAACGACCCTGTCCAGACAAGTCAACCTACTGAATGACAGGGGGAGTCGCAAAAACGTCAATCAGTGCCACTGGAAGAATTACCACACTTCATCAGGCGCCTTGTGACCGCACTCCTATCAGCCAGACAAGCCAAAACTTTCCTATTCAATGTAGTTTATAGAATTGCTAAATCCCCGCAAGCACCTAATGACATCACACTGCAGTGCCAATTGTTGTCAGACAAATTGGGACTCCTGGCAGCACTACAAGGAAAGACTTATTTTGAGTTTGAGGAATGCCGACTCTCCTTTTTTCAGGAGTTAAGTAGGGCCACACTACTATGGAGCAAAAATATGCAGCCACTCACTAAACCACTCCAAGCAGCAGGCATAGTCTACAGGTGGTCAACCCAGGAACCCTCTGGGTTACCAAAGATGGCAAACACTACAAGGCACGGACCCCTCAGAGGGCCCTGGGACTCCTTAACCTAGAGACATCCTCAACAACACAGCAAGGCCACCAACCTTGGAATGCGGTTACAGCGACAGTCGGCGCACCCAGAACACACAGAGGCACCAAGACCTGAACTGATGCTCGTGGCCTACGGCCTTTAATAAGTTAATGTCTCTAATATTTTGTAAACGTTTGTTATGTTAGCTACTTTTCATTAATCATTATTAACAACACCCATGAAACAGTCCATAAGATGAGAAAGGGGCCTGTCAGGGTTCCACCACCTAGCTCCGGTGAAACCCTCCCCCCCCCCCTTTCCTGGGGTAAATGCGTATTGACAGCACGGGGCCTCTATAACCTCGCATGGCTTAGAACTTTAAGTCACATCTACTACCACTAACACTTTACCCTACATGTGCAGCCAGACTTTCTCACACTCCCATAGCTCCCACCCACATAGGCGCATACTCGACATAGACGCAAAACCACCTCGTTGTGACCACTACTATAAAATAGCCCCAGGCCCACAGTGCACTACCACTACAGGCGTCAGCCACGCAGCTTCAGATGGGTGCCAACATGGGTGCAGTCCAAGATAATGCAATTGGCACCTTGGGGGAACGCCACAACACACCACAAGCCTAACACAGCCCTTGTCCTGGTCATCACGAGGTGCACCTCACACCAATAGCCTTAATCAAAAAGACCGGGGCTTGACTCCCATAGCCAAAAGTCATAAGGGATGCCACATGCCTCAACCACCCTATGGCTCCATGGTAACTGCACTAACTCCCATAGGCAGGTATCTTAAACACCCAAAGTTTTAGTCATGTTCTCGTTACAACATACCAGCCCAATATAATCAAAAATGTGTGCGAATTATACCTCAACAATACTGTGTTTTTACTGTGAATTGTTTCCGACTGACGTGTATATGCTGTTGTACACATATGACTGTCTTTTCACCGCACAAAAAAAATCAAGTATCATAAAAACAAAAAGGAATGGAAAGATGTATTATTGCTCCTCATTTTTTTTAAGCCTGAAAAACATAAGTCAGTGTTGTAGTTGCAGCCAAAAAAAACCCACCGTAGCTAAGTGAATGCTTCAGAGTTATAGAAAACATGTTTTTTCAATGGTAAGTTTATATATAAGGTGAAAACAACAGAAGCACTACTAAGAGTCATGTGCCCCCAAACCAGTGGAACTATACCAGTAATGTCTAGGGCAGGGGTTCCCAAGTCATTTCTCCCATGGAACCCTTTGACATGTATCCCTTTGATGTGTATCAACAACATGGAACACTCCCCTCCCCCCCAAAAAAACATTTCACACCATAGCATAAACATTTCCGTTAGCATAGTGTAATGTTTTCTATTTTGGCAAAATTTGTTTTTTTTGTTATTTATACACTAATTTCTACAGATAGTAAACAGATTATAGTATTTAGGAGCAGGTGTGTTTCTGTGTGTAGTGTTGGTGTTTGTATATAATATTTAGCGTTTTAATACAGGGATGTGTTTGTATGTAATGTTTGCATTTGCGTGCAGAGGTGTGTTTGAATGTAGTGTTGGATTTTAAATGCAGACGTACATTTGTGTGTAGTATTGGTGTTTGAGTGTTTCTAAATAATTGTAGAGTTAGAGTTCAGAGGTGTCTTTGTATGTCTGTGTTTGCAGGAGTGTGTGTTGTGTTGCTGTTTGATTGCTGAGATGTAGGGAGAGGTATTAGCAGTAGAATGAGGGAAGTGCTCATGCCATTGTACAGAACACTGGTGAGACCTCACTTGGAGTATTGTACACAGTGCTGGAGACCGTATCTTCAGAAGGATATTGATACCTTAGAGAGGGTTCAGAGAAGGGCTACTAAACTGGTTCATGGATTGCGGGATAAAACTTACCAGGAAAGGTTAAAGGATCTTAACATGTATAGCTTGGAGGAAAGACGAGACAGGGGGGATATGATAGAAACATTTAAATATATAAAGGGAATCAGCACAGTAAAGGAGGAGACTATATTTAAAAGAAGAAAAACTACCACAACAAGAGGACATAGTCTTAAATTAGAGGGACAAAGGTTTAAAAATAATATCAGGAAGTATTACTTTACTGAGAGGGTAGTGGATGCATGGAATAGCCTTCTAGCTGAAGTGGTAGACGTTAACACAGTAAAGGAGTTTATGCATGCGTGGAATAGGCATTAGGATAGTGGAATAGGCATAAGGCTATCCTAACTATAAGATAAGACTAGGGATTAATGAAAGTAATTAGAAAATTGGGCAGACTAGATGGGCCGAATGGTTCTTATCTGCCGTCACATTCTATGTTTCTATGTTTCTATGATGTCTGCACATGCATTGCCAAATACATACTTACACAGATATACATACACATTAACAAACAGAAACACACCGACACAGACACACACACTGGCACAGATACACACACCTTGACACACAGATACACACACTGGCACATACAAACACAGGTACACAGATACACACCCACTGGCACAAAGATACATACTGGCACATGCACACACAGATACATGCTGACAGATACACTGACACACAGATACACACGCTGGCACATACAAACACAGGTACACATCCACTTGCACAAAGATACACACACACATACACTGGTACAAAGATACACACTGGCACATACACACTGATAGATATACTGACACACAGATACAAAAACAGATACACACACCTTGACACACAGATACAAACACTGGCACATACACAAAGATACACACATCTTGACACATACACACACATAAACACGTAGACATAGAGGCACACAGGTATACAAACAGATACACATACTGACGGATACACACTGACATACATATACACACACACACACACTGGCACACACACTCCGATACAAACACTGACAGATACACTGACATACATATACACATACTGACAAATACACACACATACACACACACTGGCACAGTGATACACACACACACTGGCACATACATACACACACTGCACTGACAGATACACACACTGACACATAGATACACATACTGACAAACACAGTGATATACACATACTAACAAACTGTCAGGGTACCTGTGGTGACTGCCCAGGCAGGGATCCAGCCTGTGGATCTTCTCCCACATGATGGCGACACTCCTCACATTCTCTCCTCTCATCTCAGCCGGCCACGGTAGCTCCGCCCCTTTTTGTGACGCGGCACATAAGCGCCGACGTCATTACGTCAATGATGTCACGGCCCGTCTAAACTTTCGAATTTAAACGTTTTTGGGGCGTGACCATCACTTAAAGAGCCAAAGTATAAAAAGGACTAATTTTCAATGAATCATTGCCCTGTTGTGGTTCTAGCTTGATAGTTCCTATAGTGCATACTCTGGTTTGGTTTATTGGTATTTGACTTTGCTCTGATTTTGATTATTCTGTGTTCTCCATCCCTTTGACTCGGCTTGTTTATTTGCTTACCTGTTTTCTGGCTCCCTCGACCTCGGCTTGTCCCTGACTATTTTCTATCCTTTCCTACATTAGTCTGGCCATTCTAAGGCCCGGTGTCCTATTTTGCATTCTGCATATTGGATGCCTGTTTCGTTCCTGACACAAACACAGAGATACTCACACACAGTGACACATACACACAATTGGTACACAGATAACACAAATTGGAAGATACACAGATACACCCACTGACACATACATACATGTACATACACATACATGTACATACATACATAGACACATACACACACACATAGACACATACACCACACACACGTTTATAGTTAAAGTCACCCTCCTGTTTTCTTTTTAAAAAAATTCTGCAGGCTGCTAGCTGATGCTGGTGTGCCAGTTCGGCAGCTGCTTATTCTCTGCTGCTACCTCTCTCCCTGCAGTCAGCGCACACTAAGTCTGGGAGGAAGTGACAGGCTGTCACTTTCTCCCAGCATCCCATTTTACAGGGGCCTGATCGCGGTCTTAAATTATTAAAATAGCGGCCTCCTACCAAACCAGCCCTATCTGCACAGTAAGGCTCCCATATATTCACAATAAATTCATTGCTAGCAATACCTCTAAAACCAGACCAGTAGTCTACTTAACAGGCTCAAATGAAATGAACACCAGGGTGCCCTATAGCTAGATACCTTGGCTACTGTAGCTTGGGGCAGACTACATACCCTTATGCATTGTGATATATTTATCATATATCTAGAAGCAAGTCGCTTTTAGGCACAACTAGTGTAGGACGTAACGTTTTGAGCCCTGATACATACAATATACATGTGATACGTGATACCAGTGCAGTTAACCAGCCGGTAATCATTTTTCTCAGTCTCATTCATTCTGTCTCTCTCTTACTCCCTCCAAATAAAAATAATCTCACATGTACCAGTGCTTTGAGTAACCACACCTTCATCAACCCTTCCATCTCCTACAAAGAGATTAGTTTACGATTACGTGATACCAGTGCAGTTAACCCACAGGTAATCATTTTCTCAGTCTCATTCATTCTGTCTCTCTCACTCCCTCTAAATAAAAATAAGAATAATCTCACCTGTATCAGTGTTTCGAGTAACAACACCTTCATCAACCCGTCCATCTCCTACAAAGAGATTAGTTTAAGATTACGTGATACCAGTGCAGTTAACCAACAGGTAATCATTATTCTCAATCTCATTCATTCTGTCTCTCTCACTCCCTTTAAATAAAAATAAGAATAATCTCACCTGTATCAGTAATCTGAGTAACCACATCCTCATCAACCCTTCCATCTTCTACAAAGAGATTAGTTTATAATTTTACAGCGTATATACATAGTAAATATATATATATTTATGTTCAAAGCTACTGTGTGGATCCTGTTGAACAGAACACCAGCAGAGTTAGGATTATCTGTAGTTCCTTTACTTCCTCATGGTAGGGGGTTACATAACACAGTATTCTATAACAACAATCACTGTGCTATCTAGTTATCTCTAGATAACAGTAAATACGTTCTAAACCATAATACAGCGCTACGGAATCTGATGGCGCTATACAAATAATAAAAATAATAATAAACAAAATTCCCAGCTCCTGAGAGCTGCCACTGTCCTCCGTGAGATACACAAAATTAACCTTCCTTATCTGTCCAGGTGTGCCTCTTTTAAGCCCAAGTAACTGCTACAGCAGATACTAATTGGCTACATTTCAGTACTGGGCTGACTCCTGCAAATTAACCCGTTCCTCAGGGAACTGCTTGTACACACCTTTACAGCAGTCAATTAATGTAATGAATCCTACAGGTCAACACAATCATAATCTACGTAAATCTTTTACATTGGATATACATAGTTAAATATATAAAAGCAAAGGGATATTCAGCGCTTGTCCAGTACTGATACAATCAAAAGGACAGCTAGGTCACCAAATCAGAAGTCTCTCTTTTGCCCCATAGAGAAGCAGGAAAAAAACAAAGAGGGAGGTGCAGCATCTGGAATGTCATTGGAGTGTGTATATATAACCATTAAAAGAAGGAGAAATAGGAAACTGATAGTGAAGTACATAAAAATACATTACGGTGAGGCTAAATTAAATCATATGCACTCACACTTTATAGGATCTTAGGTGCAGCTCCAATTTGCAGAATAATCCTCACCTGGGGATATGGTCGAGTACAGATGCTTGTGGATGCAGCTTCTCTTCCAGATATGTAGGAGAAATTAGAGATACATAGTGCAATATGCAAGACTCAATATTAAAATATATAGCTATCAAGGATGTGCACTCATGTGTTCTGGAGCCTAGAGAGTGGCTCCACAGCTATAGTGTGAAGAGGTATGATCCACACTCTATTATATAGGTGCTGGTGGTCTCTCTCCGATTATAAAAGTAAAATAGAATATAAAACCACAATAGCATAGACTGTAAAAAGTGGTGAATAAAATTAAATGGACAAAAAACTATTGACATTTGATACAGCAAATAGGGATTGCTCTGTCCAGCAGGCTTAGGTGGTATTATCCCCATCAAGGATATGGAGTAGAGGAATTCAGCAGCAAACAGGTCCAAAAAAAGTACTTTTATTAATAAAAAAACATTAAATTTAAAAAATAGGGTTAAAGAACTACCGTATATAAAACAACATTTAAATACACTTAACGCTTTTCACCATTCAGAAAGCCATTGTTTTATATAGTTCTACATATCTGCAAGAGAAGCTGCATCCACAAAAACCTCCTATGGAGTCTGTACTCCACCATATCTTCAGGTGGGGATTATTCCACCCTGGCATCTAAGTTGGAGCTGCACCTAAGCTCCTATAAAGTGTGAGTGCAAATAAATGTATTTACCGTCACCTTACTGTATATTTTACGTACTTCACTATCAGTTTCCTATTTCTTCTTCTTTTTATGGTTATATATTGTGAGCGTAAAAGTGGAATTGTGGTTGATGGAAGATACATCAGGCCTGATTTGTTAAACAGCAACCTGAGAATTTTCAGTTAAATGCCCCAGGGAGAGATGTTAGAGTTTGCAATCTACATTGCTGAGGTTCTGCAAAACATGGTATGGGTCCCTGGGGCGGAGTATTTGGAGAGCAGGGTGGGCCAATGCTCCAACAGCATTAGTTGCTGTGTAACAGACCACTATTTGGATCTGACTTACGAGTTAGTTAATTGGCACTCACCTGTAGCCAGTCAGTTAGTAGACAGGCCTTTAAAAGAAGAGAGCAGCCTGCTGCAGAGTGAGGGAGGAAAAGACAGTGAAAGGCAATTGTGTTTATTGCAAAGACATTTCTTTTGTTTGGAAAATTGGTAAGTGGGAAAGCCACCCAATTGCAGATAGCAATTCCTGTCTAGTAAGAGCTCAAGTAAGAGCAAGGGATTTTGTTTGTTTTGTTATTATTTAAAGCACCTGTTTTCTTACTGAATAAAAAGGAAAAACCGAGTTGAATGTGTCCTGGACTTTGTATACCCTAGAAGGCTGTGGTTACTGCAAGATCTGTGACAATCCTACCTGTAAAAGAGGTGGTTTGTTACAATATATATACTCCAAGGACATATCAGACACTGCTTGTTTAAATATATATATTTACAAACAAAGAGGGTGAATGTATATGATTACACAAATATAAAGCACTGCACTTACAGCAGCAGTAGCTCAGTATCCAACAGCTCAAAATACATAGTAAAAACAAAGAGAACGTTACCTGCGCTCTGGCCTAAATCCCCATGTACATTTAAACAAAATGGAGACTCTTTAGTTTTATTCCAATGGCCATTTGAATTTATAAGCTCACCTGCCACGTCAAGGCAAGCCTCAAGACGCGAGTCCTACTCTAGCCATTAGATTTGCTGATATCAGCCAAGAATCTCCAATAATTGCCAGCAAGGTGATTTATATGTTATAGCCCTATTCAGGGTATATAGGGGTTTATAAAACACCCCTTCATGTCTCATTAGAGATGTTTACACTTTGTCTGATACCAGCAAAGTTTATTGTATGTGCAGAAGTCTTATAAAGGGTTAAATATGAAAGGGTTTATAAAATACCCCTTCCTGTCTTATTGGAGATTCTTGGCTGATATCAGCAAATCTAATGGCTAGTGTAGGACTCGCCTCTTGAGGCTTGCCTTGACGTGGCAAGTGAGCTTATATATTCAAATGGCCATTGGAAAAAAACTAAAGAGCCTCCATTTTTTTTTAAATGTACATGGGGATTTAGGCCAGAGTGCAGGTAACATTCTCTTTGTTTTTAGAATGTATATGGTTGTCAACATCCTATTTCCTTAGCCTATGGTTTTAAGAGTATTAATAAATGTGTTTTTTTGGGTGATCATGCACTCTGTCACAACAGAGAACCATGGAATGCCCAGTCCCTCCCCCTTGTGCTAAGAGTCTTTAGGATAGAGGGTGTCAAAGCCCTATGGCGCTACTACAAAAAATAACCCCCACATTCCCAAAATGGGACCAAGTGAACCTAAACTTAGTCCAAAAATCTTAAAAACATTCAAATTAAAAGAAATGCAACAGTGAAACATGTATTTTGGAAAAAGTTTGCCATATTAAGTTCCTAAAAGACAGTTTTCTGGTTTATTATTGTGTCTTCAGAACCCGTCAATGGCATGTTCTCAATAAACCTTTTCAATGTATGCTACATCTGGTGTGTCTTTCTTTTGTAAGCTATTTTATGGGCATTTCTGCACAGGTGATCTGAGTAAAGAGCTCAAACAGTCCATAAAAGTACTGTTGGAAAGAAAGACATCTCTCAGGACTGAAGAGTGAAGCAGAAAACTCAGTCTTGAGGCTTAAGGAATTGAGGGAGAGAATTCTCATGAGTGGCCAGAGTGCTAGGTGAATACAAGCATTGCACAATCAGGATTTTGGAAAAAGGTGGGAAGTGTGCCTCAGAAATTGAGTCTGCAAACACGATCTATTCTAGGACCATCTCATAGAAAGGTTATTCCATGCCATCTTCTTATAGAGAACTCTATACGTCTTATCCGTGCCATCATAAAAATTCTGCTTATCTGCTTAAGGAATGGTAAAGACTCCAACATGTAAGGTATAGATTAGAAACAAGAAAGGTAGATTAGGAAAGTAAAAAAAAAAGAATAGAACTATGTATTATGGCTCCTTGTGGTTTTCAGACTTAAAAAAACTTCAGTGTTGTAATTGTAGCCCAATGTCAAAGAAAAATAAATCACATTAAAAAAGAAGAATTACATCAGTAATATAGATGTCATAGTAGTTTTCTCATAATGATTAAAGGATGTTGAGGGTAGAGAAGACTCACAATGTATTGTGCTTTGGTTAGTGACCTCAACATACAGCACAAATCCAGTGTAATGGAAAAAAAGAGTGTGATAGTGGAGCTTGACCCCCCCCCCCAATGTACCGACAAATGCAGTACAGCAGCATCAGGTGCTCCAGATTATTGTTTGAACCCAGCAACCTGAAATTAACCCTTCAAATAGTTCCCACTGTCAGGTTTGCTCAGAAAACTGGAATGCAAAGGTTTTGAGAATGGGTGTATTTCAGAGGCTGGCAATTGACATCTGCTCTGCACCATCAACTTTCCTACATTCAAGGGAGCGTAACTCAACATGGGTACCTGAGCAATGAAATAAAAATATGGTCTGATGTACCATAAAGTCCATCGTTGTATGATTTTCATTAATGTTTTATGTTATAATTTAAGCTTAACCCCTTAAGGACCAAACTTCTGGAATAAAAGGGAATCATGACATGTCACACATGTCATGTGTCCTTAAGGGGTTAAAGGACTAGTTTCTACCATATGATTTCCGTATGTCATGTGTCTGGCAGTGACATCACAGAACAGCCTACTCTAGAAAAGCATTTCATTGGGAATAAAAAGGAGAGTTAAGATTTATCACAGTCATTCCCCAGGGCGTAGCAAAGAATATCACCTCACTTCTATAACTTTGTAAGTTATATGTTTAGTTTGTTAATTTCTGTATGGTATTATTTTAGTAATTCTCTTTTACTTGCTATAATTTGTTTTATTATTAGTCTGTTACCTATAATTTATTGTAGTAAATTGACATTATTATTATTATTGCCATTTATATAGCGCCAATAGATTCCATAGTGCTTTACAATATTATGAGAGGGTGGATGTAACTATAAATAGGACAATTACAAGAAAACTTACAGGAACAATAGGTTGAAGATGACCCTGCTCAAACGAGCTTACAGTTTATAGCAGGTGGGGTATAAGACACGTTAGGACAGGAAACAGCAATCAAATAGGGTGGGAGTGAAGCAGAGCTGGAGGAGAGGGTAGACAGCTGCCCTACAGGAGAGAGCAAGAGATAGGTATGTAAGGCAGAGGTTACTCTGGGAGGCCATAAGCTTTCCTGAAGAGATGGGTTTTAAGGCCCTTCTTAAATGATTGAAGACTAGGGGAGAGTCTAATGGCGGTAGGCAGGCTATTCCATAGGAAAGTAGCCGTCCGTGAGAGGTCCTGCAAGCGTGAGTTGGCCGTACGAGTGCGAACAGCGGTCAGGAGGTGGTCACGGGCAGAGCGGAGGGAACGAGGAGGGGCATACCTATGGATCAGTGACGAGATATATGAGGGGCTAGAATTATTCAGTGCTTTAAATGTATGGCTTAGCACTTTGAATTGACTCCTATAGGATACAGGAAGCCAATGTAAGGACTGGCAGAGGGGTGAGGTGTTAGAAGACCGACTAGAGAGGAAAATCAGTCTAGCTGCAGCATTCATTACAGACTGTAGCGGGACAATACGGCTTTGGACAGAGCCTTGGGGAACTCCAACCGAGACAGGATGAGGGGAGGAGGTATCCTTGGAGAGATAGGAGGAAAACCAAGAAAGGACAGAGTCACAGAGACCGAGCGATTGAAGAGTTTGAAGGAGGAGAGCATGATCAACGGTGTCAAAGGCAGCACAGAGGTCAAGGAGAATTAATATGGAGTAGTGACATATAATATTACAAATGTTTTGTGTATTTTCTTTCTACATATTCAACCATTATACCATTAATATTTATATTTAAGTCTCGGCCACAAAATTAATTCATCTTGTTTTCACAGTATGGACAAATTTATTTTGAGAAGGCCAAAGGATTTCTTCAACAACATCCACCGTTAATCTGATAGTGCATACCTAATGGTACAGGCAACCATTTTGTGGTGTTGTTAGGCCTGGTATTGCCTCAGTATAATTATACATGCAGAGGGCAACTTATGGGAGTAGTGGCATTCTCTGATGTATATATTTTCCAGAATAATGATGTGCCCATATTGTGAGTTTCTGGAAATCTTTATGGAAATCTGATCGGCCTAATATTCCTTTTGGAAACGATACTAATACAATATATCCTTTACAGTTTAAATACTGCACATTTTACTTAAAAAATATCTAGTACTTTGCAATTCAAAAAGAATATGGACTGCGAAGAGGGCTCCAATAACTTATTAGGTGAATCAGATCAGGCCTCTAAGGGAATCTGTTAATGTGGATGTAGTTTTACAATTTGTCTGACATAGTACTTACCTATGAGCACAGGATCACTCTGTGGAGATTCCATATACTTCACAGTTTCAGTTCTGATTTCTACTTGATAAGAGCATCTGAATATAGAACCACCATTGGCAAATACTGAGAAAACGGTTGTTAGTGAGTTCATGTTAGACTTACTATCTTTGACTCTAGTAGTATTATGCAATAGAAAAAAATTAACAATTTGATAATCTGATGATAGAGCAGTACAACGAAATCTGATTTTTGTGTTATCCTCAGGATCACTCTCCTTATCCAGTATTGGCTTTTTCAGATCTAAAAAAGTTCAACATACATAACATGTGTTAGTGTAAAAAGACACAGCAGATATCAATACAGGTGACCAGACATGTTTTTTAAATTAAATTCATTATTTCTGTCATGTAAATTTCGTTTAGTATTACAGCGTGTATTAAGGGTAGTGTACATAATAAGTGCATTATTACGTGCAGTAAACAGTTATCTGGTACACCTGGCTGGGGCAATGCAAAGATTTTAGGGATCTAAATCAGTGGGTTTTATTATACAAATTTCACATTTGCTTAAAGACTTGAAAAGCACCAGAACTACTAAACCTGTAGTCTCTCATTTTTAAACACCAGATTTTCTATATAAAGGCAGTGTTTACATTTTTCCTTATGGACAAATCTAGTGGTTGTGACTGAAACTGCCACTAAAGGTGCTTCCTATTTGCATGACTGGCAATCGGCATCTTCACACTCTGCATGAAGGTGACAAACAGACCCCATGCACTTGCCTTGGTATACTGCAGGTCTATGAGCAGTTGCTGATTGGCACTGCACGTAGTTGTGATGGTGGAGCACTGGACTGGCTGCAATCATAAAAAATGATCATCTCAGCCAGGGGAGAGGCAGCAGCCTTGTGTAATTTAAGAAAGTAGGACTAATACGAACTTATACTTCACGTGCCTGTAAAATACTATACCATTTGAGGTTTTTTTCTTACCCTATGGTTTAATTGGATGAAGAGAAACTGCGACTCCAAGACTCCCACGAAAGAAAAATACAATAGGGCTACGCTTCATTACTATAACCGGACTTTCTGCTAACTTCCATAAATTATCGTTGGACTGTATACCTTGATATTTGACTTTTACTGTAAGTACAATATTTATTATCAAACTTTTAACAAAAAGATCTGTGGCGCAACCAAACAACTGTTTTATTATGTAATTTAAGGTATGCACATTTTCTTTATTTAATGGTTACTGGGAGGCTACATCCAAACATACAGGACAATACTGTGACATAAAAAATACACGTTTCAGTTTCTAATGTCAGAGTCTCCCTGTAATAGTATTCACTAATTTCTTTAACATTTGTACAGGTCTCTTCTATGATGATGGCTTCATTGATCAGAGATAGTGAAGAATGTATGGGTGAGAACTATAGTTTCCAGTATGCGTATGTCAACTTTAACTTGATGGAGTGCTTTTGGTTTATACAGGGATGTGCGAGCTGTGTGGCCAAACAGGACATCATGACAGCAGTGGCACCATGTGAGCAACAATGCTCGCACATGCCCTGGGTGACAGGTATGAGGGAGTGGGGGCACAGAGCACTCCAATAAAATAGATTGCGCTATGTAGCATGGACGCATGGCACCTGGGTGGAGGATTTCATTATCCTTCCCACAGGTCTATCAGAGAACCTAATAAGGCCCTAGGCAAATAGCGCAGCTAAGCGGACAAGGGCACATGTAGGAGTGTGGGGATAGATGCATGGGATTGGTTGGGAAAGAGTGTGTGGGTGGGATTATGTTCTGTGTAAGTTAGTGTGGGGGAGGTCTTACCTCAGTGCCACTTGGGATTCGGGCCAGCAAACAGCTTCCCTCCCGCCCGCCCTATTAGTATATTTATGAATGGGGTTAGTTTTTGTTCTAGGCTGCATCACGATTCCCCACTACGTACATACAAGGCAGAAGGGGCGGAGCTGACTGAGTGGTGGAGGCAGAGCTAAATGGAGCTAAAATGGACAATGGAGCCTGAGCAGGCAGCCTTGTAACTTTTGCACACAGAGGAGGAAGCAGGAAGCTTCCCCAACAACTAGACTTCAGGTAATTCAGTGCCCCTGCTCCCCTTCCAGCCCATAATGGAAAGATATAACTGTCTGCCTGTACCTGTGTGTAACAGTGTGTATGTCTGCCTGTAACTGTGTGTTTGACAGTTTGTGACTGTTTGCAGCTGTGTGTTTGTGAATGTCTGCCTGTAACTGTGTGTGTGTCTGACTAACTGGCTGTAAGTCTGTGTGTGTCTGTGTCTGTCTGTCTGTAAGTGTGTGTGTGTGTGTCTGACTGTCTGTAACTGTGTGTTTGACTATCTGCCTCTAACACAGTGTGTTTGCTGTCTGTAACTGTGTGTGAGACTGTCTGTGTGTAACCGTGTGTGTGTGTGTGTGTTTGTGACTGTCTGTAACTGTGTGTGTGACTGTCTGCATTTGTGTGTGTGTGTGTCTACCTTTCTGCCTGTAAGTGTGTGCATGGCTGTCTGCCTGTAACTGTGTGTGAATGTGAGACTGTCTAACTGTGTGCGTGACTATCTATAAAACAAATACATGAAAAACAAGTTACCTGCGCTCTCTCCTTAATCCCTATGTATATTTAGACAAATGGAGGTCATTTAGTTACTCCAATGGCCATTGGAGGGAATGCCCGCCTGCCAACGTCAAGGCAGACCCCCCTAAGCGGGTCCTACGCTGACCCTTCACCTTGCTTCTTTGAGCTTCTGGCAAAGATCTCTAATGAGACAGAAAGGGGTATTTTTTATGTACACCCCTATATATTTATTAACCCTTAATAGGGAACACATGGGATGGGTGGCAGCATTGTAACAAGGCTGAGTGATACAAAAAATGGATACAAATGCAGAAAAATAAGTCCTGCGCTCACTCCCATCACTACTGGGCGGCAGCAATGACTACAGTACACATCAGCCCGAATCTATAGTAAAAAAACAAAGAAAAACAAGTTACCTGCGCTCTCTCCTTAATCCCTATGTATATTTAGACAAATGGAGGTCACTTAGTTACTCCAATAGCCATTGGAGGGAATGCCCACCTGCCAACGTCAAGGCAGACCCCCCTAAGCGGGTCCTACGCTGACCCTTCACCTTGCTTCTTTGAGCTTCTGGCAAAGATTTTTAGTGAGACAGAGAGGGGTATTTTTTTTATATACACCCCTATATATTTATTAACCCTTAATAGGGAACAAATAAACCCATAGCAAAAACATATGTGAAAAAGGATGAACTTGATGGACGCAAGTCTCTTTTCAGCTATGAAACTATGTAACTATGTAATAGCACACCAAAAAAGTATTGCACAAAAGGTTTTTATTCACATAATGCATTAGTAAACACATACAGATAGTAAAGTGCAAACATGCAGAGTATTCACCTTACAAATAACCACATAACCTAGGCAAATAAAGTGCTCAATGCCTTAACCAAATTGTAACAACAAGTATACTGACCCGAGCTGAAGACCACGGCACTTCAAAGTTTCGGCACTACGCCTTCCTCAAGGGGGATCTCAACTAACATGGTATTGTTCCCATTTAGAAAGCGCACACAAAGTGTCTTAAGTGAAATAATTAAAAACAGGTAAAGGAGCATGGCCACTAAAGCCAATATTAATCAATTCCCTGCACTTTTCTGTGGGGTCTAATATGAGAGGCACAGCCTATCGCTGCACACCCTGTCATTGCGACTCTGTCTTTGGAGCTCCTGGGCACTCTGTGACCCTTGTTCCCACTTTGCAACAAGAGTCAATAGGTTCCAATTTGTATGTGTTGTGAAATAAAAATAAAGAAATTACTCTCCCGAACTTTTTTTTATCTAGTTTAACTTTGTGTTTAGCATTTTCCTGATATATGCATAAACTTTGCTGACCGAATAATTCTCATTTTTTTTCCCCACTGAATTCCCTGTGCTTAGTACCTCTAAAGCAGGGGTCCTCAAACTCCGGCCCCCCAGATGTTGCTGAACTACAACTCCCATGATTCTCTGGCTATCTATGTAATTCAAAGAATCATGGGAGTTGTAGTTCAGCAAAACCTCTGGGGGGCCGGAGTTTGAGGATCCCTGCTCTAAAGGGATCACACTCTCTGGCCATATATTTAGCAGGACCAGGGGTCTGAGTGTTTCTTGGTATTGGAGTAGGGGGATTGGTGGCCTGTTATTTATTGCCCTCTTCCCTATCACTAAATGGGTGAAAAATAGGGCCAACCAAGTTGGTCATTCTTTTACCTTCTACCCCATAATACTTGGGTGGAGAAAAAGCTACAGGCAATTAATTAGATCCATACCAAATACATATCTCCTGCCTTTCACTCATGCTCACAGGGCTGAGAAATAGGAGAGGTCACTACCTGGACCTCCTTTGGTTAAATTCTTTTTAAATGTATTTTTAGTGTAGAACATCAGTGAAAGCTGATCATCTCATTCTTGCTGCTCTGCCACATAAAGAGTTAATTATACTGCCATCATACAGCTTTAGCAAACAGCTACAGTATGTGATCATACAATGCATAAACCTGCCACAACGCCATTCTACCCCATTTATGTCGGGTCCTACTCTAACAACCTAATACGTGTTCTTATGAGATTAACCCACTTACTTGGAAAGCCATCATCCTGATGCTTTCTGCAGCGCAAGCTTAAATAGTGTCCTAAGATGCCAAAAGACAAAAATATAAAGCAATGACATAAGTGCCAACAGTCCTGAATTTGCTAGGACAGTCCAGTATTTTGGGGTGCTGTCCCAGTAAAAGAGGTCCCATAGACCTCAACCACATTTTGCAATATGCTGGCAGATTTTGAAATGCAGGAGAGTATTGGATGCACAGAGTGCTTCATCAGAACCCCATGCAAGGTCTGCCTTGAGGGGGGCATTTGTTACTCAGCCTGCAAACCTCTTTAGAGATGGGCCCACTACGTGCTCAGCCTTACATATTGCCCTGTGCAACCTGCTCTCTTCCTTGGCCACCTCTGTCCTGAAAGATGAGCAGGGAAGATTGTCAGTTATGCAAAGGGCTCTAGTAAATCAATCTGTAGGCACATAGAATTAAGAATAGAATGACTTTTTAGATGATGGGATAAATACAACCGCACATTGCTGTATGTTATACATAATGCTTTCTGTTTTTGATCTACACAATCCAAAACAGTCAAAACAGAGAATATGAGAACACTGAGAAAGGCTAATAACTCGGGGCTTTAACATTTTAAAATGTGTATATCAGATTAAATCCACCCACAAGACAGAGAACTTCAGAAGGGTTGAGTGCTGTTGTCCATTGCCATGGCCACTTTATGGGTGGCGCCGTCCCTTTTATATCCAAGACACTTTTACGAATAGACCTATCCTTTGCTGCATCACTTATCCACCCACCCCATCCTGAATTCTCACCTCCTACTATAGGAAGGTAAGCATGTGACAAGTTTATTACATTACAATACTGAACCAGATATCTGTAATACACTCTGATTGAGAAATGTAAATAAAAGCTACTCACCTATTATCCATATTGGGAGAATAGTGCTGGTAGTAATTTGTTCATAAATACCCAGAGAAGTGCAATAATATGATCCGCTATCTAACTGTTTTGTATTATTGATAGTAACTGTTGCCACTTTCCCTTTAATATCCTCACAATGGAATGGACGTGTTCCCTCAATTAGAAAACAGAAACGCTTCCCTTCCTTTTCAGCTTCACATCGGAGAGTTAAATTTTGGCCTTTTTTAACCACGCTGCCAGGAATGGCTGTGATTGTTACTGCTGGCGACTCTCCCAAACCTGTTCAGAAAATGGGATAATATGTTTAAAGATTCATTTTAAAATAATCCAGTGACACCTACCTCTGAAAGCAAAGCAGATTTTAGGGGTAGGGTTGGTTGGTTTGTTTTTTTAAATGACAAATCATTTCCATTGTATCGCTCTGGATTTTTAATTAACAATACCAAATTTACTAAATACTCAGTTGAGGCCTCAGTTGTATGTGACAGAACAAGCAGAAAATATCCATTCGATTTATTTATGATTAGTGGAGCACTCTGTGCAATGCTTTGAACCCTGTGTATTGCTCATGCCCTATATATTATGATCTACTTAGATAAATTGTCAATGTGTCTATGTTTCCAATATAGCTATTTTGGCCTAAAAAAGTCCAACAATTTTAGTGAATAAACTTGACTGGTTTTACACTTCAAAAATAATAAATGCATATATAAAGATGGTTTCTGTATATTTATACCAAGGTTTGTTTGTTTGTTTGCTTATTCCTTGTGCATGGTACGGGTTAAACTACCCATAACTGCTCAGTGCCAAATGTATGTTAATACTGGGGAGAAAAATTGAGGGGTCCAAAGATGGCAGGATTGAAATCAGCACAATGTCTCCCAAATGCAAAACAAACTCAATGTTTTTTTTAAATTTATGTACTGAAATTGTTTTGTGAAAAAAGCCATATAATTTGTGTAAATATATATGATATTAGACACTCACCCCATGTAATGAAGAATCCAGCCAGAAAGCCATCTGCAAAATTATAAAACAATAATAAAAATTGGTATCATTACAAAAAGCAATATAATCAAGAAATGTACTGCACTCTCTTTCTCTACATATATATTTATTTCCTGGCCATATCCATGGCAGCACAACATTGGGTAGCTCCTCCCTATCCTCATTGGACAGGAAAAATAATTAAGCCGTATAAGTACCTCCTACCCCTCCTTCCCCAGTCTTTTTTTCCTGTCCTATCCTCTAGGACATGTCGGTCGTCGGTCCTTTGGACCTTACATTTTTCTTTTATGGCTTACCTGAGGATTAGTTCCTCCAGCCCCTGGGGAGTTCACCCTCTCTCCCCTGGGAAGTCTCCAGTATACGGCCCTGCGCAAAGGTGTCCCCCTGGAGAAAACCCCTTTAGTGACCGGGGGTTTTTCCTTTCCATTATCTTGCAGTGACCTCAGGGGTAGCAAGTGAAAGGACCTATTACATTACTTATGGATATTATTTGGAAAGGAACCCTCAGAGGAGGAACCCTCTACATTCAATCGTTACTTCTCTGATCTTACGAGAAAAAGAGCAACTTTCCCGGTGCATGAAACTATCAGGGATCTTATTAAAGGACCACTATAGTGCCAGGAAAACATACTCGTCACTATAGTGCCCTCAGGGACCCCCCCCCCCCCGGCTCTGGAAGGGGGAAAGGGGTTAAAACTTACCTTTTTCCAGCGCTGGGCGGGGAGCTCTCCTCCTCCGATCCTCCTCCTCTCCTCCCCTTCGGCTGAATGCGCACACGCGGCAGGAGCTGCGCGCGCATTCAGCCGGTCGCATAGGAAAGCATTCATAACTGTGATTTTCACAGTGAGAATCACGCAAGCGCCTCTAGCGGCTTTCAATGAGACAGCCACTAGAGGCTTTGGGGGAAGGCTTAACCCATTCATAAACATAGCAGTTTCTCTGAAACTGCTATGTTTATAAAAGAATGGGTTAAGCCTAGCTGGACCAGGCACCCAGACCACTTCATTAAGCTGAAGTGGTCTGGGTGCCTAGAGTGGTCCTTTAAGGAGGAATGGTTTAGATCTGATAGGAGATCATCTGCCAAAGGGAAATACTCCAGATTATACCCATTCGAGCCCAAAGATGCTGAAGCATGGGATTTTGCACCCAAGGTTGATGCTGCAGTTGTCAGGTTAGCTAAACATACTACCCTACCTGTGGATGATGCTGGTTCATTCAGGGACCCAATGGATCGTAAAATGGAGTACTACCTTTCCAAGTCATATGTATCCTCAGGCGCAAGTCTCCTCCCTGCCGTTGCTCTCACGTCAGTCACAAGAGCTATGAAAGTATGGTTACAAGAACTGGAGGAGGACATCAGAAGTGGCAGAAGCTGTTCCTCCATTGTGGATAGCCTAAGAGATATGCATCTAGCAATTGAATTTTCATCCGAAGCAGCAGTGGATCTAGTAAGGAATCTTGCTAGAAATATGCCCTTTTCGATTTCCTCCAGACGGGCACTTTGGCTCAGGTCTTGGGCAGCTGATGCTTCCTCCAAAAATAGTTTATGTTCTTTGCCATTCCACAGGAATATGTTGTTTGGTAAGAACTTAGACGAATGTATAAAGAGAGTGGCTGAAGGTAATAAGGCTTTCCTACCTCAAGAAAGGAAATATAAAGGGTCCTTTCGTGCCCGAAAAGAATATCATTCCTTTCGGGATAGTAGATCTTACAAGCCTGGCAGAGAATATTCCAGATTTCAGCCAGGGAGAGGAGCCCAATCTGGAGGAACAGGAGGCAAGTCACGGGGTGCTTTTTCCTCCAAGAACCCCAGGAATTCATGACTATATAATTCCCAAGTCCGAAGGGGTCGGCGCCTGTCTTCTCCAATATTTACACAGATGGGAAGAATCCACAAGCGACAGCTGGGTACTGGATATTATTCGGAGAGGATACCTTCTAGAATTTTTCAAGCATCCTCCCAACAGGTCCTTTCATCTCACAAAGTGGCCAGGGGACAAGGAGAAGCGTATGGCTCTACAAAACTTAATTCTATCCTTGCAAGCAGAGAATGTCATCACAACTGTGCCGGCAAACGACAGAAATCAGGGATTCTACTCTCACATCTTCCTAACAAAGAAATCCTCAGGAGGATGGAGACCTATTCTGGATCTGCATAGATTAAACAAACATCTACACATTTGCAGATTCAAGATGGAATCCCTGCAGTCCATTATAAAAGTAGTTTCACACAACCAATGGATGTTCTCTATAGACCTGTTAGACGCCTACTTCCACATACCCATTGCCCTTTCCCATCAAAGGTTTTTGAGGTTTGCCGTAGAAGAGGGTCATTTCCAGTTCAGAGCACTCCCGTTTGGACTAATCACTGCCCCGAGGACGTTCACAAAAGTATTGGTAGTTCTGATCGCAGAACTAAGAAAGCTGAATATAGCTATCTATCATTATTTGGACGACATCCTAATTATAGGAAACAGCAAAGATTCATTGACCTCCCAAGCTATTACCAGCATTCAGTTTTTGCAAGCTCACGGCTGGAAGATCAACACCAAGAAGAGCCACCTCCACCCAACTCAATCTATGATCTATTTAGGTGCTCACTTCGACACTCTGAGAGGTACCGTCCGACTTTCTATGGCAAGAATATTGAAGCTCAGGATACAAGTAAGAAAGATAATAAAGTTCAGTGTTGTTCCCGCAAAGACAGTAATGAGCCTCCTTGGATCTATGTCATCCACAATAGGGCTGACCAGATGGTCACAATGGAGGATGAGTCCATTTCAAGCCAATTTCCTGACGCAATTTGCTTCCAAGAATCTACTCCAACCCATCAAGTTATCCCGGGACGTACGACATTCTCTGATCTGGTGGCTGAACAAGGAACACCTTTCCAGGGGGTTTCCGCTAGGAGACATCACATGGATAGCAGTTACAACAGATGCCAGCCAATGGGGATGGGGTGCACATTGTCTCCAACACTTTGCACAGGAAGAATGGAATTTCACGACAGACAATGTGCATTCCAATCTACTAGAACTTCTTGTTGTCCTCAAAGCACTGAAGCATTTCTCGGTATATATCAAGGACCAATAGGTAAAGATAAGGACAGACAACACCACCTTGGTATCCTATATCAATCACCAAGGAGGCACCAGGAGTGGCAAGATGATGGTAATTATGAAACAACTGATGGGATGGGTTCAGAGGAACTTGGCAGGCCTTACTGCCAGCCATCTACCAGGGAAATGGAATCAATTAGCCGATTTCCTCAGCAGATCCAGGATAGACCCAGGAGAATGGTGCCTATAGGACAGAGCATTCCGCATGATTGTGGACAAGTGGGGTTTCCCTCAAATAGACCTACTAGCTACCCGTGTCAACAGGAAGGTGAAGGTTTACTTCACGAAAGAAGAAGACCATCTAGCACTGGGAAGAGACGCGTTATCCAGTCCCTGGAGATTTAAAATAGGGTATGCATTCCCTCCATTCCCACTGATCTTCGCAATCCTGAGGAGGATGAGAACAGAGAGGGTATCTCTCATCCTGATAGCTCCCTATTGGCCTCGAAGGCCTTGGTTTCCCCTGCTTCAGAATCTTTCAGTGGAACCTCCTCTCCCACTTCCCAGAACTCCGGATCTACTGTTCCAGGGCCCAGTGTTGCATCCAAACCCGGTCTCACTAAATCTCATGGCATGGAGACTGAAAGGAACAGGCTTGTGAACAAAGGATTCTTCCAGGCCGTAATAGAAACTATGCTGAAGGCACGTAAGCATTCTACTTCAGCCACCTTTTATAGAGTGTGGGAAGTTTTTTCCACCTGGGCTCTTCCTAAAAACATTGATCTACAGAATCCCTCTTCCACGGATATTTTGGAGTCCCTACAGTCTGGACTTTCTAAAGGTCTGAGTTATAATACTCTAAAAGTACATGTCTCAGCTTTGTCCGCTTTAACCAATCATAGATGGGCATTGGATTCAGACTTTATTAGATTCCTTAAAGGAGTCCTTAAAATTAAACCTCCAATTAAGCCATTTGTTCCCTCCTGGAATCTCCCTTTGGTTCTGAACGCCTTAAAATTAGAACCTTTTGAACCCCTTGAATCAGTTCCTCTACAGGTTCTGTCTATCAAGACACCTTTACTGATCACCCTAGCTTCCGGCAGGAGAGTTTCGGAGCTCCACGCCATATCCAGTAAGGAACCTTTTACGGTCTTTCATAAGGACAGAGTTATCCTCCATACTGTTCCTGAATTTAGACCTAAAGTCACCTCTGCCTTTCACATTAACAAAGATATTGTTCTCCCATCTCTGATGCCTGAATACCAAGAAAGCGAGAGTTCAGCTGACCTATCATCTCTGGACCTAGTGAGATGCCTTCGGATATATATTGAAAGGATGGCTGCTTGGCGCATTTCTCAAAGCCTCTTGGTCCTTCACAGTGGTAGTAAGAAAGGCTTACAAGCCCCTAAATCTACCATTAGCAGATGGATAGTGGCAGCCATTATACAGGCCTATCATTCTTCTGGATATCCGGTCGCTGTGGGTCTTAAAGCCCATTCCACTAGGGCCCTCTCATCTTCTTGGGCAGCAGCGGCTAATGTCTCTCCTGAGCTCATTTGTAAGGCGGCCACATGGTCTTCCACCAATACCTTTATTAGGAGTTATCAAATTGATGTCAGAGCAGGTCTATCAGATCAGTTTGCTAAATCTGTTCTGTCTGTATCCAATACATGATTCATTGTTTATCACTGGTTAATGGTGTTAATACACTTTGCATTCAAAATTTTCGAGTCTGTGTTTTTCTTCCCTCCCTCCCTAATGTTGTGCTGCCATGGATATGGCCAGGAAAATCGAAAATTTATTCATACTTACCGTAATTTTCTTTTCCTGGTCATAGGCCATGGCAGCACAAGGGTCCCACCTGGGCTATTGCTGTAAAACATGACTGGGGAAGGAGGGATAGGAGGTGGTACTTATACGGCTTAATTATTCTTCCTGTCCAATGAGGATAGGGAGGAGCTACCCAATGTTGTGCTGCCATGGCCTATGACCAGGAAAAGAAAATTACGGTAAGTATGAATAAATGTTCTATTATACAGGCATTTCCCTCTTTATGAAGTCCCACTTTATGAACTTCCACCTTTATGAACTTTCGCCCAGGTGTGCCACTATTTTGTTTCACCACCATTTTGTGTCAGTGTTCTGCAGATCCGGACTGAGGAGTGTGCTTTGGAGCACAGAAAAGAAGAGAAGAAGAGGAATTTTTTCCCAGAAGTAGACAAGAAGAGAGAAGAGGAGCAGGAACACAGTTCCTGAAGATAAAGGTAAGTCTAAAAAAACAGGTTAGACTGTACTGTAGTCTTTCTGTGCTTCCTTGGGCATACCTGTAATATTATTGCACTGTATATTATTGAGTAGAGATTCGACTTGATTTGCATGTATGTGTGTGTGTGTCTGATATTGCTGTCTGTGTGTGTGTGTTTGCTATCGTGCCATGCGAGGAGCAGGAGGAGGGCTGAAGATCCTGAAGAAAGGAAAAGGAAGAGAGTTTGGGAGCTGTAAAAATTAAATGAGCAAAAGAAAAGAGATAAAAGAGAGGGGGGAAGTTGATAAAGAAGAAAGTGAAGAAGGAGGAGGGCTTAAAAAAGGTGTAAAAAGGTGGACTGTCCGGTGTCCCCATTCAAGTGCAGCATGACTCTTCATTGAGGAATGCGATGACTGATGAGGATTTAATGACTATGGTATGTATTCCTTTAACATTCCAAAAACATATATGTATTTGCTATGCTTTCATTTTGTATTTATACTTGGAAGTTTAGGTTTTCAATGGTAACATTTCGTGGCCAGCAACGGAACATGTGCATGCTGGTTGTTATATATAATGTTACTTTTTTCCTGGATACAGGTAAATATGGTACTCACACTCTACTGTAAAACTGGGAACTGTGGTTTTGGCAGAATTGTTGTTGGGTTCTTGAAACAACTGGGGCTATAACCAAAACCAAAAATGACATCTTACGCTAATAGAGATTTGCCATGACATGTCCATGCCTTTCTATGTTATGTCCCCTCCGCTATCCATGAAGAGCGTGCAGCTGATATTCTCCACAATCTCAAAGAAAGCATAGCCAGAGACCTGCACATGCTTCACATCCGGCTACTCAAAGCGATCCTACCATGTTACATAACTAAAAGAGGGGTGTGCTTCATAATTATGTTCTCCAGAGCCATTTCCCGACAGTCACCTGGTCTACAGCATCTCCTTGTCTTAGTAGCTTGGAAGAACACCAACACTACTGGTCTTTATTGTTTTAATAGGCAAGTGCTTTGAGAAGCAGTTGAATGATATGAAAATAAAAGAGCACAAATATCCTCCTGTCCCTTCACCAACTGTAGAGATCTGAGGTCAAAGAACCACACATTGGCCCCCAAAGGTTGCTCCCTAAACATGTGGGTTTCAATATCTTTTTTTTTCTGATTCTTTGGCTAAGATATGAAAACAAAAATAACAGGCGCTCACTATATAAAAAAAAATGGATAGCTTTGGGCTGCAGTAACCAGTACAAGAATTCCCAGACCTTGTGAGTAATGGGATGTGGAACAGAGAGATGGTAGGAGACCGCGTCCCAAATAGTATATAAAAAAAATATATATAAATATATGTACACAATTCTTTTGGTAATTGTACACACAGTTGACCTCAAAAAAATTATACAATAGTACAGTACAGTACAGTTGGTGAAGAGTAGTGCGATAATCTCACATTTGCTAGAGCTAACTTAGAGCTCTGCCGTAATGCATGTGGACGGAATAATCCCCGTCTAAGGATATGTGTAGGTGTCGATGTCTTTGTCGTCTCAAATAGGATGAAGTATGATGGACATGTATAGAAAAATACAGAAAGATACTACAATGGTGAAGTAAGTACTGTTAAGTGTAAAAGAAAAATCAAGTCATGTATTTACATTTACTAGAGCAAAACTTGCTCTAGTGTATATAGCATCGGTGGTATAATCCCCACCTAAGGATATGATGGTGCCAGGAAGTAGAAAATAAATAAGTAAAATATAATAAAATGGACTATTTATTAGTCCTAAAAACAATATTAGGTATGCTTTCATGTTGTATTTAATGTGTTTCGGCTGTCCAAGGCTTCTTCACACTCTTTTTTACTATGAAAAAGTACCTTAAGGACCATTTACCCTACGAGGTCTAAGATTTACTAAATATCCTACCTTTTGATCGTGAAGATAAACATTTTATTAAAATTTGTGAAGAGGCTCTTGAATCCTTTACCGTAAAAATGATGAAAATAATGTAAATTACTAAACAGAGAGTAATAAATTTGGAGGAAATTGATAAAATTATTAATGAGATACGGAGCAAATTAGAAACTTTTATTGGGACGGAGGATTTTGAACCCATTACTGGCTTACTAAGAGAATCAATCATTAGTCAAAAAAAGAGAAAATATGAAAGAGATATTAACAATTGCAACCAACAATGTTGGGAAAAGACCTAAATTTTATAAAAATAAACAGAAAAGGACTAACTATAGACAAAATTACGAAAGAAACCTTGAGAGAAACTTTGAGGGAAATTACAAAAGAGCCACTATGGATAAACCAATAAGAAAACCCATGATAGAAAATAATCAAACACAGGAATGGATTGAAGTAAAAATGCTTTCCTATGGGGAATTGAGCTACGCGTGAGGACGTCAGCAACACTCTAGCACAGAAAACCTGTGCTAGAAACCAGGAAGTGCCCTCTAGTGGCTGTCTGGTAGACAGCCACTAGAGGAGGAGTTAACCCTGCAATGATATTATTGCAGTTTATGAAAACTGCAATAATTTAGTGGGAGTTGGCACCCAGACCACTTCAATGGGCATAAGTGGTCTGGGTGCCTGGAGTGTCCCTTTAAGAAATTTGGAGGACAATACAAATATTAACTTTCCTTTTTTAGGACAGAAATGGAGAGAGCTTCCTTTGAGAACTCTGAACCTACAAAGAAAGAGATTCAGAGATTTAGAAGAAGGGGGAATAAGGGAGGAAAGAAATTGTCTAACTGGCCCAAAGTTGTCAGACTCCTCCCTACAATCTTTCTTGTGAATTGGCACAACATTTGCTAGTTTCCAATCTTCTGGGACTACTCCTGTTAACAATGAATGGTTAAATTAATCTGTTAATGGTTTTGCTTTTAATAACTTTGGGTGTATCCCATCAGGCCCCATACACTTATTTGTATTTACTTTAGACCTCTGAAATAGAACCTCCTCCTCTGTAAATGTATATGTGACAAATGGCTAATTTGCCTTTTTTCCTAACGGAGACTCCTTTCCTTAATTTTCATCTGTAAATACTGAACAAAAATATTAATTGAGGCAGGCAGCTAGACCTTTATCCTCTTCTACAGATCTTCCTTATTTTGTTCTTAAAAAATGCTTTATCCCCTATTTTTACTGACTACTTATTTTCTCTCCTGTGTATGGTTTGGAAGCTCATATAACTTGCTTTGCCTCTTTCTGCCTAATCTTATAGCTCTGTCTATCTTCGTCACTTTGTTTTTTTAAATTACTAAATAAAAATAAAAAACATTTATATTTTTTTAACTATTTTGGCCACTTCTGCGGAGTACCACAATGGTTTCTTCAATTTGTTGCTCATACTGACAATCCTAATGCAATTTTCTGTTGCCTTCAGTAGTGCATCTTTTTAATATTCCCATTTCTGCTGGACTCTATTTAAACCACTTAATTCTGATAATGACTCCTTTGCACATATTCTACTTTTAGAAAAGTCTGTTTTTCTAAAGTTTAAAACTTTTGTTTTTGTGTGGTGTGACTCAGTCACTGTTTTAATATGTTCTATCTTTGTTATTCCTGGCTTTGTCTGCAGCACTAGGGGTCTGGACTCCATCTGTGGCTGATACCTGTGCTTCACCTGAGGCAGATTGATTACCAACCGGGTATTTAAACACTGCTTTGCCCTGGGAACTTTGTAAGTTCTTTAATTCTGGTGATAATGTGTTGATCCTGTTGTATGTGTTCAGTTCCTGTGTTCCAGTCTCTTGAACTTATACTCCAAATTGACCCTGGCTTCTGTCTTCGTTTATCCTGATCTCTGGCATCCCTTGACTTTGGCTACACTTCTTTAATCCTGACCCCTGGCATCCTTTGACTTCAGCTATCCCTTGGCTATCCTGCTGTTTGTGTCCTTGTCGGTACTGCATTGGAATCACCTTTCCTGCACAGCCCCCATGCACAAAATCACAGTCCAGGTGGCTTCTTATCTGTTCACCTTGGACTGTGTCTATCTGCAAAGGTGAGCAAACATATCTGCGCTACAGACTCCCATCTCAGGTAAGAACCCTGACACCTGGCACAAGCAGCTCTTTTGGTTTTCCATTTCATATCAGGAAGATTAAAGTCACCCATGATGATAACTAAATAAGCACGTTGACAAAGCACTACCAAATTATTATCTATCCCCTACCTATTCCAGCTTGTTTTATAGGGTAAGCAGATAATTGTTTCACTGTATTAAATGCTGTAGCACAATTGTTCAGTTCTTGTATCTGTCAAATAATTTTTGTTACTCAGTTACTTATTATGAAATATCCTCATTCTATAATTGCTAAGCATTGTAAAAACTGATGGTGCTATGTACATACTAATAATAATGACAATAAGAATAATTCACTACTCACAGATGAAGGAAAGGCTAGCAGAAGCCATCACGGAAATCTTTGTCTGTTTCAGACGTGTGAGCTAAATGCAGGACAATCACTATATCATCTAAACTATTTCCTAATTTGATGATCAGCAAGTACTAGTTCCCTTTTCTATCATTAAAGTGAAACAACAATATTGTGTAATTTTTTATTTTTATTCTGTTTTTTGTATCATTATTCATCAATAAAGTTTTTTTTGTTTTTGTTTAATTCTGTTTTTGTACCATATTTCATTGCCTCAAAGGAGCCAAATGGGTTGTCCTCATCATGCTCTCATTATGCAGTTAGAGTATTAGATTCACACGAAACACATCTGTCGGTGGTGGCCTAGACATACATATTGAATGTTTTGAAAACAAATCAGTGTCAAGCCTGTCAGCATTTTTACGCACTATAACATTAAAAAAGTTAACACTTTTCTCACTGGCCACTGTGGTCAAAGCAATATTTGGATGACACTTGTTCAGATATACAACAAATCTGTCCAGTTCCACCTTAGAACCTCTCCAACTCAGAAAGCAGTCATCTATAAAGCAATACCTCTCCACAATAATGGCAGCAAACTGATCATGTTTAAAATGTCATGATTTCTCAAAATCTGTCATGAACAAGTTAGCATAGGATGGTGCCATATTGGCACCTATCAATGTTCCTTGCACCTGTTCATAATAGATCTTTTCATAACGAAATACATTTTTTATATTTTCAAAACAAAATACATTTTTACATAAAACAATCTCCAAAAGAGTCAAAATAAAGTCTAATAGTCTAGGGGTGATATCTTTGTTTCCAGTACTACTCTATCTACTTTTAAACCATCCCAATAGAGAATGGAAGTACTTAGGCTACATACATCCAAAGTTACTAACCAATCATTAGGTTCAAGCCTCACATCCTGCATTTCGATAAAAAAATATTTAGTGTCTTAAATATAAGATGGGCTCTCAGTCACTGGTGGCTGTAGAAATCAATGAAAATAGCTAGCGGCTGGAAAATAGAGTCAGTCCCAGCTACAATAAGTCTTTCTGGAGGCCTTCGTTCAACTTTATTTACTTTGGGTAACAAATAGAACAGGGAACCTGTTAAACAAAAAGTCTCTCTGAAAATGAGTGATGGCAACATCAGCAAGACCCCTGTCCACCATATTTTTTAGGAGCCTGGAAACATGCTAAGTGGGTTCTGACTTCAAAATTCTGTAATTTGCTCTATCGAGCAATTGTCTTGTTGCTTCATACTGGTTCTGTATCCCGATCAGCCCTCCTTTATCGGCAGGTTTGATGATAATGTCCCTATTTCTGCTAAGTTCCTCAAGTGCCTTTTTCTCATTAAGACTCATACAGAATTTACGTAGTGGATTCTGCCACGGGAGAGCTTCAACTTGTTTTTTTAACAACATTCATAAAAAATTGCACTGAACTGTTATTAGTGACAGGATGGAATGAGCTTTTAGACCTATATTTATCTAGTTATAATTTATTGAATGTGGGGGTACCCGCTGGTGGATCATTATCTACCTCTTGTACTATTGTAGAGCAGTGCCCTGGGACGTCTGTCTGATCAACTTGGCCACCCAGGCAGACCCAGTGACGGGCACTAAAGCTTACCAGAATGTTCACTGCTGTTCTGTCACAGTACAAATAAGGATGGCCTGGCATTAGTCAGAGTGCTGCGCTCTTTATCTCCACCTGCTGGTTGCCGGCACCCAGTGCACACTACAGACTGATAGTTTGCATCCATAGGCCACGCGAGGGCACTTTGTCTGTGCGCGGAGGAACCAGGAAACAAGATGGAAGGTTGAGGCACTTGTGTGCACAAAACAGAGGATGGGCCTGGCATGCAGCAGCACAGTGCCTGATGCAGCGACAAGTAGAAGGGAGGAGGTGCCATTGTTACAAGAGCAGCTGCTTGAAGGTCCTAACCTCCAGCTGTATATCTGTACATGTAGCCCATCACCTTGCTGTGATAGCCAGGTAAATACCAGACTGCAGCAGGAAATTGAGCTGGAAGGTGAGCAGGGTTAGTGGTAAGAAGCTGCAAGCAGAGAAACTTCTGCCTCCAGAGAGACTGTACTGCCTGAACAGCCAGAGAGGAGCCAGACCTGCCAGATCTATCTCTTATGTCTACAAATGCTCGCAGTTTAGGGAATAAGATCCATGAACTTGTGGCAATAATGGCAACTGATAGTGTAGATTTAGTCGCTGTTACTGAGACATGGTATAATGAGAAAAATGACTGGGACATAGCAATACCAGGGTACTCTTTATATAGGAAAGATAGGGAAGGCAAGAAAGGGGGAGGGGTGGCACTGTATGTGAAGGATAGCATAAAATCTAGCCTAATAAACGTTAGTGAGGCAAACAGAGTCCGTTTGGGTTACGTTAGAATTTGGTAATCACACAGTAACTCGTGTAGGTGTGATTTATAGGCCCCCATGACAAATTGAAGAGTTAGATAATCTACTAGTTGAGGAAATAGCTAAAATGACAATGAAGGGGGAAGTTATCATCATGGGTGACTTTAATCTCCCTGATGTAAACTAGAAAACCAAAATAGCTGTGTAGCGGAACTGCAATATTAAATCCCATGATCTCCGCTGGTATAGAAAGTAATCCAAAGTAAAGCGCCGGAAAAGAAGGCAATATCCCAAATCCCCCAGTAACCGGACGAAACACAATTCTGGGAGTCAACTGACAAATTTATTCACAGCTCCAGCATTTATGTAATTCCCCATGCAAGGGGTTTCCTTAGTCACTTTACAGGGGTATTACAGTAGAGGACTACATGGGGAACTGAATATACAGAACATTTCTCCCACCATGCACTGCTGTACGTGAGGGATACTCCCACTAGAATATCTTGTTAAGTGTATTATCCCTCCGTACAGCAGAACCGGCTTTTAACATAAAAATGTATAACTTTAACATTATTCGTGGGATTCTGATAAATGGCCGTTCGGTAGATAGCTGGGGTCTGAGCGCACACTTCGTGAAAGTACCGCTCAGATCCCAGCATAAATAACGCCGCACGAAACATACTTTTATATCAAATTCCCCTAAAAGTACCGAATACCTATTGGGAACCCAAATACCGAAAGACCGGGGCTATCTAACGTCCTGGAAGTCCAGCGGTGTTCGCGCCGTCGAGTAGCTGATTTTAGTTCCAGGCGCTTGACGACCAAACACTGCTGGGCTAACAAAGGATCAAAGATGGCCGACCGCCGCGCGGTCGGTAGCCGAACGACGGCCACCTAGGAAGGCAATTAACTACCGATTGCAACAATGTTACAATCGGTTAATGGGCGCCACACGACCCTCTGTGTGTGGGCTCCCGTTCGGTACCTTATTTGTTTCACGAACAGTGTTTAAAGTCACTGTTCATGAAACTACCATAGGAATGCTAGCGGCTTTCGGCCATTAGCATACGAATGCTCTTTATTTCAACGTACACAAATACATTCCTATACACAATAAAAGCAGACAACCTTCTGATGTTATGCAATAAGTCTTAAAGTGGCTAGGTTTGCCACAAGCTGCTTGTGCCAGGAGCACACATATTCTAAACTCCCTACTGGGATTGTCTCTAAAACAAGTCATTGATGAGCCAACTCGTGAGGAGGCCATACTAGATTTAGTATTAACAAATGGAGATTTGGTATCAGATATTACTGTAGGTGAAAGTTTAGGATCCAGTGATCATCAGTCAGTGTGGTTTAATATAAGAACAGTGACTGAGTCACACCACACAAAAACAAAAAAAAAGTTTTAGACTTTAGAAAAACAGATTTTTCTAAAATTAGAATATGTGTAAAGGAGTCATTATCGGACTGGAGCAATTTAAATGGAGTCCAAGAGAAATGGGATTATTTAAAAGTTGCACTGCTGAAGGCAACAGAAAATTGCATTAGGCTTGTCAGTAGAAGCAAAAAATTCAAGAAACCACTGTGGTACTCCGCAGATGTGGCCAAAATAGTAAAAAACAAAAGGTTAGCGTTTAGTAATTATAAAAAAAAAACCAGAGTGAGGAAGACATAATGATCTAGAAGATTAGGCAGAAAGAGGCTAAGAAAGTTATAAGAGATTCCAAATCACACACAGAAGAGAAAATAGCACAGTCAGTATAAAAAAGGGACAAAACATTTTTTAGATACATAAATGAGAAAGGGAAAGTAAAACAAGGATTAGTTAGATTAAAAACAAAAGAAGGAAGGTATGTAGAAGAGGATAAAGGTCTAGCTATCTGCCTCAATTAATATTTATGTTCAGTATTTACAGATGAAAATGAAGGAAAGGGGCCTTAGTTAGGAAAAAGGACAAATTAGTCATTTGTTACATGTGAGTTTACAGTGGAAGAGGTTCTATTTCAACTGTCAAAAGTAAAGACAAATAAGTCAATGGGACCTGATGGAATACACCCAAAGTTATTAACAGATGTATTTAACCAATCATTGTTAACAGGAGTAGTCCCAGACGATTGGAAGTTGACGAATGTTGTGCCCACTCACAAAAAAGGTAGTAGGGAGGAGTCGGGCAACTATAGGCCAGTAAGCCTTACTTCAGTAGTGGGGAAAGTAATGGAAACCATGTTAAAGGATAGGATTGTTGAGCATCAAGATCAGAGACAACATGGGTTTACTTCAGGGAGATCATGCCAAACTAATCGTATTGATTTTTTTGATTGGGTAGGCTTTTGACACTGTTGCACATAGAAGGCTTATCAATAAACTGCAATCTTTAAGTATGGACTCCAATATTGTTGAATGGGTAAGGCAGTGGCTGAGTGACAGGCAACAGAGGGCTGTAGTTAATAGAGTATATTCGAAGCATGGGCTTGTCATCAGTGGGGTGCCTCAGGGATCTGTACTTGGACCCATTCTCTTTAATGTTTTTATTAGTGATATTTCAGAAGGCCTTGATGGTAAGGTATGTCTTTTTGCTCATGATACTAAGATATGTAACAGGGTTGATGTTCCAGGAGGGATAAGCCAAATGGCAAATGATTTAGAAAAATGGTCAGAGTTGTAGCAACTGACATTTAATGTGGATAAGTGCAAGATAATG